ACTCCTGTGGCTTATGCCTCTAAATGTAATGCAAGCTGATCATTTCAATTCTACGGTAATTACATGTATTTATGCAGTTTGTTTGCCATTCCATGTATTTTAATGTCCTTTTTTCCTGTTTTCCACAAGTGCATCAAACCACTTATACAGTGTAATAGCAGCATTGCTACTGTCGTGCAATAGTTTGGTCAAATAAAAACTACCGGTAGTGTGGTACATGTATGACAATATTGCAAATATGGTTCAATGGTAGCGTTGCTATGCACGTAAATGTGTGCCCTGTACACTTGTTCCCAAACTTCACTAGCATGAGATCATTTAACCCAAGATTGTCACAAACATTTGTAGTCAGTTCTTACACAGTACACATGTACAAGTATGTGTAGGCACATGCTGTTGGTCAAACAAAATGCGTACATCCAATCCATCTTCAATGAACTTCCTCATCTACTTTCAGAGCTTTGCCTGTGTTGCCATTAAAACAACCTGCGCACCGTCGCTGCTTGATCTGCACTGCATAGCTACACTCATTCCATGCTACATGTAGAAGTATAATCATTAAGTACAAGTATGGTAAAGTTAATAACTGGCCGTATATATTGAAACCAGTTACATGATTAATGGAGACAATTCAGTTAGGATCCCCAGGGATCAAACTTAGAAAACTCAATAAATATCAACAGCTTATTCAATGAAATAAAACCATGTAAAAAAGGCAGGCTCCATTGCAAGCTATCCTTTTACTCGTACATGTAGGTGAGTACACATCTATGGAGTTCAGGTTTGTTCTCTGTGTACGCAATGCATGTACCGGTACATGTAGGCCCAAGTACATGTATATTGTGTAGATGTACCGGTAATCTCCACTATCAACAAAATGTCTTCCCAGACACCTGTAAAATGAGAGTACCAAAAATGTACAATGCATAAAAATTCTATTGGGGGCCCCAAATATATGCAGTATTATTGGTTAGGAAATTTGGGGGGGGGGGCTGAGCTATTCATGTTAAGTTTTATGTTGCCTTGCTGAAGTTCTCCTGCTCTGATAAAAGTCTTCACTGCGACATTATTTATTTTCTTTACACTGCCCACTTCGTATTCATCTTACAAAAATACAGACTATTTGTGAATTCTTGGTCATTAAAAATTCATGTGAAAACAACCGGCAGCCCATTCTCAACACTCAGGGTCTGAATGCAAATTTGACCTCTCATAAACACAACATCCAGATTTATTCAATCCAAATCCCACGAGCAACCTCTGCAAAACTCTACCGTACTTGTAGTTGATGATTATGGCATCAGAAGATTACAAAAATTAGAAAAGCTCTTTTGCAATTACATGTATGCTTTCTATCCCTGATCCCAAGGTCTAACCAACTAACAAAGTTTCAAAATTTGTATTACCTCTGAAAGGTTCAGGCACTAAATTACAGGTACTGTTATGTGGGAAAACGGTCCACTGAGGGAATGTTATAGTACATGTAATATGTATGTACCACATATTTTACTCAACCATGCCGTTTATGTCATTCAAAATGGTGTGCCACCAAAAAAAAAAACAAAACAAACATCAAACACTGGTACTGTGTCTACCTTGCCACTGTCGCACGGGCGCTAAACCTGTGTACATGTACGTGTACACCCAGGTTGTACCAAAGTTGGAGGATTTCTTTTTTCTTTTGGCCACGTTTTGTTTTTGTTCAGCCTACCTGTATGAAAAGGAACTCCACCAACATACCCTTCTTTCTCATAAACTCAATTGATTTTTCTCCAACTACGCGTAAAACAAAACAATACATGCAACAGCTCTGGATTCATTCTCAAAGATTGGACTACACTGCATTCAGTGGGCCTATTTTCCGAAACTGGCAGTGATCCGTTACAGTGTTTGTATTACAATGATCGTGCACTGCATCTCCCTAAAAGAAATCACAGCTGTGAGATCCAGGAACAGGTGCAAACAGTCAGTTATATGTACATGTACGGTATGTTGGCATTTATGCATCGATATTTGCACGACCGACCGCAGGCAATCTTTTATTTTTTCACTTTCACAAACAATTGACTATTTTTTTCTTAACAAGTTGTAACTATCGGTGATTTGTAGGCTAGGGATTCCCATATTTCCAATTTGTATTGTTCTTTACATTTAGCAAGACATTTACATACACGTGTACATATACGTGCATGTAAGCATACGTGACAAAAATATTTGGGGCTCAAAATCACCGCCATATGTTCATTTACATGTATGTCCAAGATGCAACCTTCTCCAGGTTTCCTTCAGTTAAACCAAGGGTTCACTTCCAAGTATCAGGAACTGATTACTGGTAATAACACAAACTCCTTTAATTAATGAAAATTCTTTAACTTTACACAATTCTGGATTTACGTACCTAGTGTTTTTGTCGCTAAACTGTTTATGTCACTGAAGAAAGTAAATGTACAACAGCAATGTGCATGGATTTAAATGTGATTTACAGGAAGCACAGAATCCTGGAATTTAAGTTAAATACACATGTTGAGCTCAGGAGAAAAAATGCCTGGGAGAAAAAAACCTTGCCCTCTCTGTGGACAAATGGTTACTGCAACAAAGCAGTGAGTGGTTCCCTGATTGGGCATCTCACAGGAGGGATGGAAGACAGAAGGGAAGGGGGAGTGTGAGGTCCTCTACTCCTCACATTGCCTTAATCCAGCTTCCCAAGAAAGGGTGGTTAGATTAATTTAAGAAAGAAAGAAAGGATGCCACTGATTAGGAGAACAAAACAAAAATCACACCTGCACTGTGCAATTGGCACTACATGTACACGTACATGAGAAAAATGGCCATCGACCTAGTCACGCAGTAATCATGGGCAAGCCAGAAAATGCTTTGACGAAGAATGAAATGTAAATAATACATGGAATGACTACACGTTACCCAAACTGTATGTCTACGTGTCATTCAAACAAGCATACATGTATGCTACTGCAATCAATAGCAGATGAAATTAGCTTTCAGCTTTGTAAACAGCATAAGTACATGTATATGTATGTGCATGGCCTTGAACAAAAATATTTGTTCAACACAGTTGTGTGCTGTTAATTCAAGTAATGATGACAGAGATTAATTAACTGATACTGTGTGGCAAAATGTCTTGAACTCTGAAACAGGAAACATTTGATACCAAACGTATCAGTGAAACTGCCTCCATGCAAACAATTCAAAGAATTCAATCACAATGTTTAATGTTGGTCCCCCTAAGGGTCTTCATACTGTACAGTCTAAAACAAATTTATCTAAATTAGCAATAATAAATAGAGCAAAATGTTCTTGGCACATGTAGTTCCTGGTCTGGGTATTACACTTGTACATGTAGGATAAATGTGTCAAAGCCAATTGGGCATGTTTTGTAAAACAAAATTATCATAAGATAAAATAAAAAAAGAACACGGCAAAGAAATGGGCTTATTAATATTAATAAACCTGTCTTTGAAGGGTTTCAATGACGGTTAATTTTATGAAGTGTTTGTCCAGCCTGTTGTTTGTGTGGGCAGACTTGTAAAGTGGTGGGACAGCTAAACAACTGCATTTACCAGCAACACTCTTGGTTTGGATTCATACCAAACTAATTCATATCAATGCTAAACTGTAATCAATCCAACTTTTTGCAGTCTATGATTAAAAAGCTACAGAGACACAGAAAGTTTGCACCTTCTAGTTCTACAGAGGCCAATTGAAGCCTTTCCATGCAATACACACTCATAGATCTATTAATGATCATCAAAGTAACGACAAGATCTTATCTCACTGGAAATCCTTTTAAATCCACCAAGAGGTTTGGGGGTTTAGCAGGTTTAGAGCCTACCCCAATTTACCTTTCATGGGGCTTGATACCCCTGGAAAATATTGAACAAAAAAGAGAATGTCATCCACAATGAAAGACTCTAGAAAAATTGTTGTTAAGACCATTCTAAGGAAATCTCCCTACGATGTTGAGATGAAATATCCATTCCTTTTCATGTAAAACCGCTTCGCTTTTAAGCCAAAAAACTCACTGCCACCTTGAAGTACATGTTCAAAGAACACACGTCAGTTTCTCAGGTACATGTATTTCTGGTTTTATTCAGAAAAAATATCCAATTGCTACAAATAAGTGTAAGGTCCATTAAGCTCAATTTGATGACCATTCTGCCAATCTTTGCCAGGTTCTAATGTGAACCAAACTGCTGAGTTCAACAGCTTCATACTTCACTGAATTGGCCAATGAATTGGTAATGGTCAACCTGAAAAGTCAGCCTTGAGTTGCCACTTAAGATGGTTTTTAATGTACGTATAACCGGTTTGTCACTTACACGACAATGAATTGAAAGCTGGTTTAGCTGGGCCTTTGAATTGGCAATGTCACTCTTACACGCATCATCTAGAGAGACTAGTTTAATAGTGAGAGTATCACCTATTATCTACGAGTATGATCTTTGTTCCCGTTTTCTTTCCACTCAGCCCGTAGTACAAATAAATGTACCGGTAGGAGCATTACATCAGAGCACATCTTGCATAAATTTTCTCCTTCAAACACTACATTTTTAATTTGCCAATGCCCACTGATGATTTCAGTACAAGAAAAAAAACTGGGGAACCTGCCTTCATGTAGCTGAGATAGAGGCCGTGTTTGTTTCACACAGCTCTGGATCAGGGATCTGTCTTTGGTTACAGGACACCAAGACCCGCATAGTGGATGGTGCGAACCAGCGTTAGGATCACTGATAGAGAACCAGATCCATGTGAAACAAATAGGCCCACAGCTGACACATACATGTACCCATAATTTCCGAAGTTCATGCACCATTTTCACTTTCACTGAAGGCTACCCTAGGCAACTATCAAAGGGCAGGCCTACTGCTCATAAATACAAAAAAGCCAAAGGCCTACAGTAACAAGGAAACACTTCTGAGAATGTGAAGTAATATCTATTATTTGAGTAAATAGGGCCGACTGCACCGTCAATGAAGACTTACTTGATTTTTCTGCGAGAGCGCAGGAAGCGACGTCCGCCGTGTTTTGTGGCTAAGACTGGCCGTGCTGGACTGGCTGGAGGTCCTGCGTCTCCTGATGACCGGTATCTTGCCATCCGAAGTGAGATGGTTCACCACCTGGGACTGTTTGAAGACGTGCGTTTCTGTGTACTTGGACAAAATGCATCCTAAAATCCCGCAGAGGTAGGCCACGTAGGGCCTCAACCAGGGCCGCAATCCATGCAGGGTGGAACCGCTCAAGAATCGGACAAAACTGAGGAACGTGAGGAGCAGCGCCGAGCGCGACGTGGGCAAGGTGGAGGTGAGGCTTGCCAGGCTGGCCGTGCCCAGGACGCAGCCCACCAACCAGGCACGGTAAATGTTGTCTGTGCCGAACACCACCTGTCCAGCGATCTCACCAAAGACGCAGGCCACGAAAAACACATAGACATTGGTGCCGGTCCAGGACTTTCTCAGGTACAGGGCCACCCAGTAGAAAGCGCAGACGATGCTGAAAACCGGCGCGAAGAGACCGCATAGCGTGTGGAGCAAAGCGAGCAAGCTCTCCTGCAAGAGGTACATCGCTACGGCCAGGACGGCTGCTGCTCCCGCCAACACAGTCCGCGGGTTGATTCCGTACTTCTTCCAGTCATTCAGCCCTAACCAAGCCCAGTAAGGGTTGTAGCTCTCCCGGTTCATCGGAGACACGGTGGTTCGAATATACCCGTTATTTTCTCCCGAATCAAGCCCCAGATCGGCCCGGTTTGGAGGATAGCGAACGCTGAACGATCGGCCGGTCGCCATTATAACAGCTTGTGCTCATACGGTACACACACGGTCCATATAAACAGCGCACGCATAACAAACACAGCAAGGTTGTACGTTGATCGTAGCCGACTAGCCCGTGTGCCGCGGCAGTTTGCTTTCCATAATGCATGGGCGTTTTCCAAATCAAGGCTTCGCATTGACACGGGGTTCATCTGATTCCTCCTTTTTCCACTCAGTTCTAATCATGTTTTGCTAAAGAAGCATCAAACACCACCCTATCGACCCAAAGACGGAATTGATTTAGCGGGAACAAACGTTTTGGGCAAACAAACTAGTTTCATTGTTGGTGACAAACCGTAAAATGAAACGAATTCGAAAGTTGGAAAACGTCATTAGGACCCGTAGAATCAAAACATGTTAACTACAAAGGAGTGGTGGCGCTGTGAGGCATGCAGCTTTCACGTTCAACTTCAAATTCCCGCGCTGTGGAATTTCGCTTGTAACTTAAAACCAATTTGGTGCAACACTTACACATCTGGAAATATTTAAGATTTTTCTTGTTTGATTTGTCTCATTAATGTAAAAAGATATTACCAAAATCGGCTTCTTTGAATTTAGTTTTCTGAAGAAAATTTGTCATCATGAAAGCTGAATTTACTAAACCTGACCACACGCATTCAAACCTTTTTATGCAAGCTCTGACATTTTGAAAATTAGCTATTATACGGTTTATCTGGTGTAACAACAAGATAAGACATAGGTCGCCATAGCTTCTACCCTTCCTTTCATGTACCCCACCCCTTCAGTTAAACTTTCAAACGGTCAACAGAAAACCAGACAAGTGAACGTTTTTAAAAAGCAGATTAAAACAGGCAAACCTTTTTGAAAGCCAACATTTTCTTTCCAGATGTGGGTCAACTGTACTATATACATAAAATAAAACAGAATCCCAAAGAAACATTTTTCTCAAACGAGGTCATGTGTAGCTGCACAAATGACCATCATTTATATCGGAATTATTTTCTTGTTTCACAATGTACAAAAGACACACAGTTATGCTACTTGAATAATTTCCAAGATACGGTAAGATGCGATCCTGAAGGGGTACTTGGTTTTTTTGGGGGGGGGGATCTATCCAAGACTGAAAGTCCCCTCACTTTTTCCAGCAAAGAAAAGAATTCACCTTTTCAATGATTTTTAAAACTAGTTAGTCCATTCTGAGAATACCATCAAATACTGGTTTATCTATTCTGAAGTGCCGAACTGAATTTCACCAAAGTCACAGATGTCCAAGCAGGATGCAAAATCTTCTTAAAACATTAGATATTGATAAATGACACCAAATTTGGCAACCCGCTGGGGCAATGTTCAAGGGAGCCTGGCTCTCTGCCCCAACTCCTCCCCCCATTCCCCTTCCTTGGCATTTTTCCACTGCCAACTCATGATCAGCCTGGCCCCTCCCCTATTCACTCCATCCCACTTTGGAATCACATCGAGCATTAGTCAACAGGAAAATTTTAGGATCAAAAAAAAAATTTGTGCATGGCTCAAAGTAACTGCAAATTACCTAAATTTCTACTTAAGACACTTTGACATAATACGGCGCACGCTTAGCACAATATGCGATGAATTCTCCTTGACTGTTCGAACATCAGGCTGTCTCTTGCCTTGCATCAAACCAAACGTAAGTCTTACGAATAACATCTCAAAACCTGAGTGAGCGTAACTCTTCACTGAACTGCATCTGGTGGAATATGTTTATTCTCTTTTAAAGGTCCAAGCGGTTACCCAAGCAATAGAGCAAATCCTCACAGCATGAAACCTTGGAACTGTTTACCAATTCCTCTCTCAGTGACAACTGCCAGACACAGTCTTAGTAACCACTGCACCAAAGGACTGATATTCAGACATATTCAAAAATCACTTTTTTTCCATAGGAAGTGTGTGTCCCCCTCAACTTTGCCGTGCTAATAATAAGACCTCCCCCCAGTCCCCGCCCCCTTTAGCCCTCCCTCCTACTGTTCCATAGGTTCTGACTGTGGTCCAGCGGGAGTCGGTCCTTCCGTGGACGGCTGGTCGTCGCCACCTGTCTCCATGGCAGATTCACCAGAGGTGGGTTTCTCCCCATCCGCTGCGGCAGCCGCACGTTTGGATCGAGCAGACGCCTCAATGCCAGAAAGCTGTGCCATCAAGTCAAGGAACTATGTTTGTCTTTTCATTTCTTTTTAAACTACAAACAAACTGTCCTTTTTTTCCATCCGAAAGAAGTCTTTGTAGGTTTTTGCCAGATCCCAGTGAATCTTATGTACATTTGATGTACAGTGGAACGCCGCTATACTGTACATTAGGCTGTACCAAACATCGTCCTTGGCTCCCAATAATTTGTGCACAGAACCTAACGAACACTATTCAGTTGCTGTTTATAATTCCCCATTGTCAACATGATGAAACAGTTGGTATTTTTTTTTATGTTGGAAAGTGACAAGTGGCCATTATTTCCTCAAGGATTAGAAGGGAAAGCCACTAGTTGTCAACAGTACTGAATAGACACTGGTTTTGTGACTCCACATGATCGGGTGCAGAAGAGAACCGCACGTACGCGCACGGTGGCATTGCACTAACAATAGTCTGAAGAGGGTGCCGCTGATACACAAATCAACCGAGATTCGCCACAGCATGCATCAAAGATCGATCCTGAGCGGTAGTTTCACGAATTTTAGGATAAACATTATTATCAACTTTTTACTCAAGTTTAAATAAAAAACAAAATAGTTACATTTCTCAAAACCTTAAACTTGAATGCAACGGCAAATCATCACGAAAACAGCGAACCAAGGTATCACAAGAGGGTGCACTTTGGTTAGACAAGAGAGGGCGCTATTCAATATGGCAACGAAACGTTCGGCATTAAATTCGCAAAACCGAAAGACCGCTGTACTGTACATTTAGCGTGGACCCCGCCTTCCACTGTACTAGTAAGCACTGTATGCGTGCGAAAATACTGCCAGTTTCTCAAGACTTCAAATTGTGTGAAATTTGTCAAAACGTCTGATACTTAAAAAAAGCCGGAGGTAACATGCAGTTTATTTTGTTGGGCTGGGTCACATTCAGATAGTCACGCACATCCAGGGAAAAGAGAGGTGACCTGTGGCATGACAAGAACCTGGTTCATTTCTGTGGCCACGAAAGTAAACAAGAGAAATACGCCCACCAACTCATTTCTCAGATGACAACAGACCAACTTCCACTGCAAGAATCCCGGGCTAATAAAGGGTGACAAGTTTTGAACTGAAAGGATACGTAAGCAGCTACGTCGTCATTTTCGTAGATGGTGAACTTCTGCTCCTGGCCGACAATGGCTACAGAGCAGTTCTGCAAAAGAAAGAGGACGCAAAGTTTTCGTCACATCTCTGCCCAAGGATTGTTTGCAACCATGGGGGGGCGCAACAATGTTCAAAGTGGGGGGGGGGAGCCACTTGTGAGACCATCAGGCGTCAGCCATTGAAGGGCCTACCAAATGTGTGTGGCGGGGCATTACCTCCAAGTGGAAAAAGTGTGGGGGAGGGCCAGTAGTCCCCCTTCCCCGATTCCCCCGCTTCAACTGCCAGTGATCCCTTTTAAATAAAAGACCTGTTATGGGCCTCACCCACTTGGCCCAGGTTGTCTGAGAGCCCGTGTGCCCATTCAGTGGGAAATAAAATCCTGGACTACCACTAATAAGATGAAGCTGAACAAGAAGGAAACTGATATTCTCTATTTCAGCTCTTGCTTTGTTGATTCAATGAGTCTCCTACAAGTTATAATAGGCGAATCAACCATCAGCTTCACAAAGCTTAAAACCTTGTACTTTTTGACACTGACCTTTTGCACTTCGTATCTTATCATTAAAATTGCCAGGAACGCTGGCTACATTTGTATCAGTGAAAGGCACACCTGGTTTCCACACACACATGGACAAGACATGTCATTTCAAAGGGAGTTTGCTTCCATTTGCTGGGAAGCGTAACAGACTCCTTTAGTTTCCATGCACTTCAAGGAAAGATGGCCAAGCCACCCTACCTTTCGTTTGCATTTTTTTTTAAGGTAAACCTGCGGAGGCCAATGCCAAGTATCTGGATGTGCCAAACTCAACTGAAAATGGCGCATAACTAATTTCAAGACAGCGAATATTAAGACTGCCTTTCTGAAAACAAAGCATGTTTTTGCATTTTTCAGTTGAAGTTGAAGCCAATTGCTTTGGCATCCGAAGAATGCCTTCAAAAAAGAATTCCTGTTTTATCTAATGTCACGCAAAGTGCAGTAGCTTGACGGCAGAATAAAGCAGGTTACAGGGAAAATGGCTGGCAGCAACATGTTCGATGTCTTTGTTCAGATTCGAATCACAAACGGACAAATGGTTCCAATAGCATCAGTGCACCCACCCCCCCTTGAATAGGGCTTCATACCTTAGTGCTGAGTTCAGTCTCATTGGGTAAAGTGTCCCGTAATGCTCGGAGTCCATGCTTCACAAGTTCTTCTTGCGTGCCTGAAAAAAAGAGGTTGAAATATTTAAAGAGTTATCAATCTGCATGTCCATCAAACCATTCTTTTGAAGGAGACTGTCATTTCTTGATGCCAGTTCAATTCAAATTTCACACTTGCAACATTACATACCAGCAGGTAACTTAAAAGTTACCAAAAAGTTACAAAAACAAGGAATGAATGGAGATACGCAAAGCACGTACAGTTGCAGCACAGGTGATTTTTCAGCCTGAATTTTCAGTAGGTTTGATCTGCGATCTTAGTGAAGGCTGTATACTTTCGTATGCTCACTCACCCTTTCATATGTATACTTGTGGGGTATTTCCTTTGCTCTCGTGTACAAAACTCCCACATAACACAGAAAAATTTCAAATCACTGCCATTTCAACCAAATTCAGTTTCCTGGGTTGAAATTTCGACCGTATGTCCCTTATATAAACCACCTCAATTTGCAACGGATGAATGGCACTTGAAAATTCCTCCTTTTTGAGTAAATTTGAAATATCTATTTTGTGATCTATCTTGTGGGGTAACACTTTAGTATCATACAAGGATAAAAAAAACTGGCCTTGTGGGGTACCTTCCATTGTTCCGGTACCCCACAAGGCACCATGTACAAGCGCACCCATGCACACCGTTCAACTCTAAGAGCCAGACTATTTTGAACCATCTCACAGCTGGATGGAATTCCAATCCCCCCCCAGCTCCTTTCAACATAATCAAATACATGGTTATGTGGTTACAGTCATCTGAAGTTCAAGGCAGCGTGCTTTGAGCATGGCAGTGGTAAAGTATACATATTTTGGCTGGCCAGTCAAGGAAACAGGTGCTGCATGAGAATGGTATGTTTGATTTTCACAGAAAGCATCAAAATGACCACAAAGAGAACTGAAAAAAAAATCAAGATTCGTCTTGTGAACAACAAAGTTGGAGGAGGCGGGCCAAGACTAGCAACACTAATCTTAAACAATTTCCAGTGACTATCTTCAGTCTGGCCCAAATGGGCATCTGGAGTGATATATGTGACTAGCTCTAGAAAAATGTAATAAGTTGTCAGATTCAGGTGATGAGTTTTTGATACGGCTGGATTGAGTACATCACAAGCTACAATTTGATATATGAATGACCCCTGTAGTGCACTGCATTCCAGAGATATATAGACATTTGCATATCCACATTTTCGTATTCAATAAAAGCACCTTTCGAGGAAAAGCTCGTAAAGTGCAGCGCTTGGAAACACAATGCTACATAGAATTTCTTACTGAAAGATCAATTTTTCATCTTTATTCATCAGTATTGATGTTTGTAGGCACAAATTCTAAAAATAGAAATATTACAGAAGCTATTAAAGAAAAAAAACACCAAACCACATTTTTGAAAAAATTTCGCCCTCTTCAAATAGAACAAACCATTACGTGTTTTGGCATGGCGCGTCTTAATACCCTTTTTGGCAGAGCAGGTCACATATGATGATTTGACTTACAGTCGGGGAATTCGTTCATGTGTTTCTCAAGGTACGTCCGTGCTGACTGGGAACGGGCACCGATGGCCATGCACTTGCACTCGAAGTAGTTGGCAGAGGGGCAGGTCTGGTAAATATGTGGCCCCTTCTCCTGCAAGAAGTGAAGATATGAAAGAAAAACGATTTAGACATGACCGTTACAAAAGTAATTAATCTTATAGCAGGGCTTCCGCACCAAAAGGACAATTAAATTCCATGACTTTTCCATAACCAAATTATGGAAAATCCATGACTCAATACTGCAATATCTTGGACTATTTGGACTTGCAAATAAATCATACATTTTTGCACTTATTTGTAATAATAAAAATCACACAGTGTCTAAAAATTCCATGACTTTAGTCATTTTTACCAAATTTGATGACTTTTCCCGGCCTGGAAAACGAAAACAAATTTCCATAACTTTCCAGGCCACGGGAACCCTGTTATGGTCAAAGGCTTACACCACTTGAGCCCAAAAACTGTGCCACAATATGATTGCAGTGCCTAGTTATAGCCTCCTATCGCAAATTACATGTGCCATTTCCTGGACTCCTTCTCATACATTGTAGGTTGTGGTTTCATAGTATAGTGTGCAACCTCACATACCGGAACCAGACTTAAGCACAATTCCCGGTTCTTGATAGCAGCTCATGTGCTACATTTGAGCCATCTCTCAAGCCTTTCATAGACCAGTGGCCAAACTAACATCCCACGTTCACCAAAATATTTAAGTTTAGTTTGATATGTTAACTGCCAAATCCTAACTCTGTCTCTCTTATCGAAAGGGCAGCATGCAAATTATTAGTGTCTGAAGTTGATAAAAATGATTCAGCTCGACTAACAGCTGTTCAACTCTGCCATCTCAATCATCCTCATCTAATGACTTGACTTGATTCACTTCCCTGAAGTGATTCAACAGGACACACAAATTCAGCGGCTGGTAACAACAATGTAAAGAGCATGGTGAAATCTGGCGCAGAGTGTAGGAATTATCAGTGACAACGTCAGACGCACAGGGAAGGCTGTAACTCACATCAAAGCCAGCCACAAGGAGACCCACTCCAAACGGTCTTCGGCCATACCGCTGCGTGTTGACTTGAGACTCTGGAAGTCAAAGTGTAAGGAAATCCTGTGGAAAAGTACGCGCATTGGTGGGTACACCATAAGCAACACTCAGCACAAAGTGTGTTCACAATGTGTTCACAGTACTCAGCTATTTGACCCTGACCACAATACAAAAGTACATGGAAACAAAGTATACAGGAAAAACTATGTGGCCATTTGTACATGGTCATTCTACAAAGACAAGTCCCTTCATATTTCTCCATGTTCCCTCTGAGGTAACAAACTGATATCCTCCTGAATACTGCACTCTTCATGAACAGTAATGAAAGTAAACCAATGGTGTATTTACATGTACAAAATTTGAAACACTTTCAATAAACATAAAACTGTTTATTACACGAGCATCAAATGAGGCACAATTAACGTTTGAAAAAGTTGTTTGACTCAAGTTTACACAGACCTCATGACTTTAATTCCTTTATCATGATGAAATTAAAACCAACAAAAGAATTCAAAGGATACTGTTTCCAATCATCGCTACCAGTCTGGAGACGGGCAGTGCAGTGTCAAAGGCGTAGCGTGAATTCAAGCACTCTGTCCTCATGAATTTACTGGGCAAAGAGACAACAGAACTGAGTTCAATTGTAGGAGGTTACATTCATGGTTGAAAGCCTACACACACACACAAGTGTGTATCTGCCTGCAACTGGGGACCCCCTATTGTTCCTCTTTTGTTTGTACTTTAACTTTTTTAGAAGACTACCCATATATTTTGTACAAAGTTGTCAATCGGGGACCCTCTGTCAATCGGGGACCTTATTGTCCTGTATTGTTCAGGGTCCCCAATCGAATGCAGAAACAAACTCACACACACAGAATGGAACAGTTTTATCACCAGTAGCTCTTTAACTGGCATACATTCTCTTCTGAAACCAAATCATTCAGAATATCTGATGCCGCTGGTTGATAAAATACACGAACAGAATATTTCAATACTCCTTAACACTAACAGTCCTCAGTCCTCCAACAGGTGCAGGATTGAGGATGGTTAGGGTTTATTAAACTTGTAAACACTTTCAGTCCAAGCGTGTCGTGTACGTAAACGTTTGATGACAACTGTACCAGTTTCGGACTCACGAAAAAAGAAGTTTGTTAAAACTGTGCTTGTTAATCTGATTTTGATTTCTAATTTGAAATTCTAATATTCATTTTAAAACAAAAACATAAAAGGCAATAACATTTTAAAAGAACTGAACTAGCAGATGAAAAGAATCTGTTTGGCTCTCTGAGCTGGAAGAGTCTGGATTTTTATTCATTCACCTGAGAAGCCTGGCATCCGAAGTGAGACCTGCAATTGAAACCCCTACATGGTCGTCTATAGGGATGATCTTCTTCTGGTGAGCGGACAGTTCAGAGGACGCCCTCTGTTGGCACAAAAAAATTAAAGGAATCAAACACCTTGTAAAGCAAATGCACATCGGGAGGTTTCCCAAACATGCATGCTGAACCATGTACAGTCCAATGTGAAGAAACTGGAAGAACTTGGAAAAAGAACTATGTGACGATTTTCACAAATAATCAGGCAATAGTAAAGCTTGGGTTTCAATTCCTGCTTGCATGTTTAAAAGAACAATATTCCAGTTCCAAGTGCACAAATGGAAAGGGTTTTGAACTTAAAAGATAAAACAGTATTTCATTTAATACTACTGTTTGATGTCAGAAAAATTCATGTTTCTTTTTCAATAGAATTTCTCTTCGATTACTGAATTTTTAAATTTATGTATCACTGTGTACCTGATTATACTAGAACATATTCACACTGCCTCAACATATTGCAACTTATTGCTGGAGGATTTTGAACGACTGAGGTAATGGTCACGCCTCAAAGGACCACATTTTTTCTTCGAACACTTTTCTGTACCCGACGGCTGTTGTTTAGCTTTTGCTCCAAGAAGGGAATGAAATAGGGTCATAAAAACTATAATTTTTAACATATTTCCGTGCATTTTGAATTTATGCAGATGAGTTTTCTTGTCATATAATTTTTGTTTTATGTGTTGATGCATGTTTTACAAGAAATCTTCCCAGCACAGCCCATCCCTTTAAGCAGGTTCTGGGTCTCATTAACTGTGTCAAAGTCTAGTACCCCACCTTCAAAGCCACCAGTACGGCATGTGTCTTGGATTTGAGGCCCACTGTGGCTGAGCCCTGCTTTACAGCCTCCATGGCATACTCAATCTGGTGAATGCGTCCCTGTGGGCTCCATACTGTCACATCATTGTCGTACTGATTGCGAAACTGAAAAAAAAAGAGAAAGTATGCGATAAGGGTCAAATGACCAAAAAACGCAGCATTTACTGACTCAGCACTTCCAATAGTACACAGAAACAGTGAATGTCTATTGGGCTTACAAATTTTACTATGAGGGAGCATTGCCTATTATTTCAATAGATAAATCCCCAAATTACATGGAAAACAGACACTTTATAAGTCCCACAACTTCACAACTTTTTCTTCGCAAAATATAACCACTCTCTGAAGTGCATATTTCTCAACATTTCAAACGTGCATAAACAGCTAACTTGAAAATATTGCCACCTCCCCCGCTTCCGAAATGGTCGAGCCAATATGTGATGAGTATAGCTCCCTGACCACAGATTTCCCAGATGTCTCTATACATAATCTTAACGAGAGTAGTCGGAATTATCAGGATTGGTATCCAAAGCAACATAAACGTTCGTTACGCGAATATGCTACATCTGTTTTGTCACGTGACGTATGGCCATGAGAATCAGACATGCCACTAGCCTATGCCAAAAAAAATCGGAAAATCGCACGGTGTCGGTTTTATACGTATTAATGCGTGGGTCTGCGTGCATGTACACCACGTGCATCTTCATCGAGTAGTTGGCTATAAAAACAAAAAGTTCTTTCTTGATCATCACTGGTCGGTCACGGTCACAGTCATGAGTTGCAGCCTACATGTAGGCGAGCCTACTGTTTTTTACTCAAAAAGATACAAACATGACTAAAGCTTTCCGCCCGATCAGAAGTTGGCCCTATGCAGCGTTATGGTCATAACAGTAGTCAGTAGGCTTAAGCCGCGCCTACCTGGCAAACATAAGTAGAAAAGAAATCACCACTGTTATCCTTTTCTTCAAGCCATCTCCACTGAAATTTGTCCTTGACATCTCTTTCAATATCATGAAGATATTGTTTCTGTTGACAATTAGATGCTGCATTTTGTGGGCCCTCGAACATAAAGCCGATCCACGTGTTGATCATCCAACCTACAAAGTACGTTCAATGTGTACTTTCTTGTATCACACATGTCACATGTGCATGCACCAAGCTGTCCATGACAAGCGGTTTACACGCGTCAAAGGTCAATATTTAAATGTATTTCCAGTCACTGACGACACCACTCAACACTGTCTTTGGTATTTCGCACCACAATATGACTGACGTAAGCACCCTATTGACGACTGCGCACATAGATTAAATACCCAGTCGCACGGCGCATCATAGATTTGCTTCTAGTCTTTTATTTAATTTTGTCAATGCTGAAAACGTTGAAGGGGAAAATGTAAAAAAAAATTGCATTTGGGGAGAAAAATTTTTTAAAAGTCGGATTTCCGATTAAAATTGGAAAGTGTAATCTCTGAAGAATGCAGATGTATGCAGATCATTGAGGGCTGAGAGGCAAGGATGGTAGAAAAAAACCCTCATTTTTGGACAATAATATAGGTTAAATTCTTCAAAATACACTCTAACATGGATATTCGATATAGGTAGAAGTTCATTACAAGGGTCTCAGGGGTAGATTTGCTCCAGAAAGCACAAACGTGACAAACGGAGGTTTTCTCAGGCATCTGGTACAAAACTACCTGACATGCCTGACCCTGGCAGAGCACTTTTCAAAATGCCATAGTGTACGGAACCATCAAAAAAACAGATACAGTAAGGCCTAGTACTACGAGTACCTCCTTACTATTCAGGAAGTATGACAAAGGGCTAAGTAAAAAAAAAAAGTAGGCCTAGACTATTAGTAGTAGTAGGCCTAGTCATGGAAGGCCTAGTCTACTTTCTATTGGTTGCTACCTCCATGGTCTACCTAGCCGCTAGGTTATTAAAAATTCAGACAAGGAATGCAAACACTGGGTGTGGGTACTCACCATGTTTACTACCTATCTTCCTGTGAAAATCTGCACTTTGTTATCACCTCAACATGAAGACTTGCGAGAACTTAGGCTAATTGTTGATGTACACATATCACTTTATCAGTTATCTTCCAAATTTTGGAACACAACTCAGCAAAAATCACGTTTTTTCAATGACAATATGGCGAACGGGAGGCTCGTTCGTCAATAACATTGTGTGTGCACATTGACTTTATCAATGTCTTTCGAACTTCTTTCCACTAACTAATTGGATAAACTTAATATCATTAAAACTATTTTTATTTAAATTCTTATTAAACAAAATTCTATTTTTGAAAGATAAATTTAGCACATTATAAAGATTTTTCTTTTCTTTAAAATTGTTTTTGTAGAGGGCGCTGCACAATTTAACAGAGCGCTACATTATAAAGTTTGTAACTGCTCTAAGCTGGAAAGTGATATCACAGTAAAATGATATAGTCCCATAAAGACCAGTATTAAATTCCTGTACTTCAAAATTATTTTACGTATACTCACTACTCTCAAAGGTTTTCAGGCTGCACAGAAATATCATGACCAACATGCGGTCTTTCAATTTTGGTTACTGGTGAGACATTTTTACCCAAAGCGGACCACCCCTAACTTTAACGAGGGTTACTTAATTCCCTTTGGGAGAGTAGCTATTTTGATAAAAGCAACCCTCTACAAATAACTAAATAATGAAACTTTCGGACCCTATTGCAACCGCCTTGCTCAGAAATGGAAGCCCTATATTTCGGGCCAAATGTTGAGTGCCATATTTGCATTCCCCAATTACATGGCTCAGTCACTTAGAACTCTGTAATATCTGTTGCTATGAGCTCTGCAGATGGATTTTGGCCTACTTACGTGTGCACCTTTACTCGGCTCGTTTCGTCCCTGTTCTGGAGCTCTAAAAGTGGATTATACAAATTTTTCATTTTCTGCCTGTAAATTCATGTTTTTTGAAGTAGCAACATCCATTTTAATTAAAAATGTCAGATTTTGGCCAGGAGAAATTCGGATGTTACATTGATGAATGTTGCAGTGCCAAAAGTAAACAAGAAGAAATTAAAATTGTCAGTAATCGAATGCTGCACCCCTTGGCCTACATTTGGACGGTCTTGTTGGCAATATTGCATTATACCCAGCCCAGAAATTCTTTGCCTCCACTTAAATCTCTTTTTAAAAAGCCAACAACAGTGGAATATACTAGGTGCCAATGCCAGCCGAAATGACACACAGTAAACTGACAGGGCAATGGTGCCATCACCGAGTATGAAGGCGGGGTGCGTGAGGGAAGTAGTCCGGCTGTAGAAGGTTTGCATGGCTGCCATCTTGCAGGCCAGTGCTTTTCTTCAGGATCTACACAAAGGAGGTTTCCCAGTGGAACAAAACAACTGCCCTGCAAGATGGCTACCATGCAAAGCCTTTATAGGCCCCTAAGCCACTTCAAAAATTGCCTGTCCCTGGTACAGATAAGTTTCAAAAGAATCGTTCACAGTTTTTGTTTTCTAGTTTTGTTGGTTTTGTTATTGTTTTCTGGGTTTTAGTTGGGTCAAATGCAATGCTATCCAAAGACCATTCAATTTTAAACGTATAGATGCAGTATTTGTCTGAAGTTTCTTTTGTCTACTTTTGAACATCACAAACTTCATGTAGTTTGTCTCAAAATCTTTTGCTTTGGTTTGGTTTATTTTGTGGTTGCTTGTTTACTTTAATAGTTTTCTAAGACAATTACACCCACCTCCTGTTTGTAGGCACCTAACACAGGACCAGTAAAATATTTTAATGCAAGTATTAATTTAATTTTTTTTATCTCCAAGATGACTTAATAGTTCTGACTCTTCGGTCAATTCTTTAGCTTCTAAGGGGAACTTTCATCCTACTAGGCTTTCTGTTTGCACTCGCTGCTTCGTAGTTTGTTGAGACAAGTGGAAAGCTTAAATTTATTGCAAACTTCTAGTAAAAAGAGAGGCAGATGGGAGAACTTGGCAAGATTTTTTATTTCAAATCAGACGAGAGTTATCGTGACGGAACCTAAAACTTTATCTGAGCTTACATGTCCATTCTTGGTTTTAGCATCCATAAACAAATGTCAACTATATGTAAAATAAACTCCTGAAATCAAGCTCATTCTAAAATTGGGCCATTCTCCTGCTGCTTAAAAGGAAAGAAATTCAAAATTGAAATTCAAAAATTTAAATGAACTGAAGGCTCATTTAAATACCTTTTAATCTATTGTGTGGTAATGCCCAACCTCAGGAAGGAGTACGGTAAGGTTGGCAGGTCTGGATTTTAGGGCAGGAGCTTTATTCTTGAAGAGGCAAGGCAATGTCACCTTCGCAAAGGGCACTTGTATTAGAAAACCAACTGGCCTGTGGGAAGAGAGTGGCCATCAAGGCACCTGATTCTGATACCTGCACTGAGTGCTCGCCCTGCAGATTTTCTGAGTGCCTTTTATTTTAGGGGAATGTTAAGTAGGTTAACTAAGCATCCATCTTCACACAACGTCCAAGATTTAGACTGGAAACTTTGGATCAATTTACAGTGCAATTGTACATGTCATTTCAGTGCAAACCAATAAAGGCAGAAAAATCCACAAATCACATGAAAGCAAGCAGAAAAATAATTCTGTGAACTTACTTCATATTATTTTTGTCGGACAACTTCACATTGGAGCATGAGCATGTCACAAATAAAATTTACATGAAGTTTTGACAATAGCAACAGAATTGACATGAAGACGCGTCTCCATTTGTACTCCTACAAATCTACGAGCAAAAGATTCCACTTATGTCTTTGACTACAGAAATTTGGTTTCATATGAGCACTGCCCATGGTTTAATATGTAATTGCATATGGCAAGGACAATAATTTCAAATATTGGCACACCCAGTGTTCCATTTTTTTTGCACTGAAGTCTAATTCTCTGTGCACCGAGTAAACAAGTCACAACATTTTTTGTCAAATAAGTGGACATGACAGTCTTGTTTGTGCTTTCATGCATATCTCCGATGTTGAAGTGTAACAAAAGAGGGAGACTTTAACATGCTACTACTTTACAACTGGACTAAGGTCACATGGTGTGGTCAGTTCATCCTTAACAACCATGCGACTAGTCCCAGACAATGGAATCTCAATTCGTAGGCAAATGATGCAATGATAGAAAAGGATGGCTTACAAGGTTGTTGTGGGTCATCATAAAAATGGCACAAACCCATCTCACTTAGAATCTGTGACTTAGATTTTATAAAATCTGGTACATTGAGTTCTTTAAATTTACATGAACACAATTACAATTTGTACTAAAGACGCTGTTGCTATACCTCATGATTCAGGGCAAGCTTTGCTTCGTTACATAAGAGACACCTTGCACTGATAAACTGTTTTCAATGGATAAGAAAAGCACCAAGGAACCAGTCCATTCCAGAGATGGTAGTCGCTATGCAAAAGCTTGCCCTCAATCATGAGGTACATGTATAACAGTGCCTTTAGTCTGGGGAAATCAAATTGCTATGTTTATGTGCAACCAGATAACTCCCTGTAGCAAATTTCAATCAAATTTAACTTGCAAAGGGCTTATTGACCGGACTTAACTGCTCAGTGTAATATACCCACAGGAGCCACCTGGTAGACATATGAAGCAAGATATGAGACAGAGAGAAACCCTCCCTCCCCCACTTTGTGTTAGTCACTGTTTCACTGGAATCTCAAGAATTTTTTCAGACATCTGGGGAGGATGTGTTTAGTGACAATAATCTAGAGTGCGTACAGGGATTGGACATGTGGGGCACAGGTACCCCTGTCTCCTTTCTTGCTGGATATATCGGTAGAGTTTGGAGATTTTGAAAGCTCGCGGAAGGTACAGCTTACTTCCCAAGGGGCTTGCTGACACCTAACAGTGCAAAACTAGTCAGTGTTATCCCACAGAGCTTCAGAGGGTTCTGGAAATTTCCTAAGCAAAAAAGTCAAGGCATTTATTTCCAGTTGATAGTCATCAGGGCTTTTAAATAGGTGGGGCCTTGGGCAGCAAGAAAATCCTCTTGGCTCCACCGAAACGGGGAATAAAGGCAGCGTCTTGTTGCTGAGCCACTCCAGGGAGGCTGGCTTCCATCTGACCTTCAGAGCCGCAGGGTTGGGTGACAATTGTGGAATCCTCCACTTCTTGGCTTGTCTCCCGGGTAACACCGGGTCTCGCCTGTCCCATGGTCTGGACGCTGTCGGCTGCTTCCGTGTCCATACCTGTTTCCGTGCCTTCTCCGTCTGATGAATCCTCTTCGCTGTCTTCCCTCTGCGCTTCCATTTTGGTGTGAATTATACCTCGCATCAACTCGAGCATGTTGGTGTAGGACATGCACAAGCCCAGCGGGTTTAGCTTTTGATAAACGATCTAAAATTTGAAAATCAAACACCAATTAATCAAAAGTGAATTTATAAACGAAATGCTCTAACGTTGTCTGGTGACATAGGTGAACATTTGAGTTAATTACCCATCTACCATTTCCTGTTATTCTTAGTACTGTCACGAAAGATAATGTAACTTGATGATTTTGCGACATAGGTGACCAATCCCTGATACATCTAGGATCAACAGATAGATAGGGTTACTACTTGGATGCCAGTCCCAGATATCCAACTCCAAATGGTGGATGCCCAGTGCCATTTTTGTCAGTTCAATACCGGTACTTGTAAACATCTTCCAATATTTTGGGACAAAATTTCCATAAAGACAGCACAGCTTAATAAATACAAAAAAGATTCAAGTTCTTTTCATCTAAAGCTGGCATTATTTTGTAGTGCTGAGCCATTTCGAATAATTCACTAGTTGAACATTCAACCTTCAATTCAATCTCAAATCCAAATATTCAGTCATACCGACCGGCAGACTGTTGATGAACAAACCGTATACAAAAATAGTTGCAATATGCACACAAAATAATCACTATCATAGCTTCTCACGTTTAGGAGTATCTCTAGCTTCGATTTAGCAAGATTTAAGAGACAAACAGTACTTCTTGTCTGCTGAAAATTTTCATTCCTTTTAAACATTTTAATGAATAATTTACTTTTTGAATAGTAAGATTTCTGTCACTTTTCATTTGAATCTGCTTAAAACATGCCTCCATAGTGCATTTTTTCTCATTTAAAACATAAGAAAATCTTTCCTTCTCATACATTTTGTATTCAACTTTGGAAAATACTATTGGAATATTCGATAATGATCAAATATTCCGACATTCGGCACAGCCCTAAGATTTTGACTCCGAAAGAAAATAGACAAAAGTTCCCTGCCAACCCACGTAACTGTGACTACAGTGCAGAATGTTGAAAAATTAGGAAATAAAAGAAAAAAATGAATTCCGATTCAAATAAGCAAAATATCCAGCTTGAAGTGACAAATGCCTCCAAAGCAGTATTTCAAGATTTGTAATTTATGTTACAGAGCTAGGTGGGGCAGGAAAAATGGAAAAATATGCAAGGATAATACAATTTCGAAAAACAACCTAAAAGCCCCCTGCAGTGTGAGTTTTAAATACAATCCTTGACTATACATGTACGTCTTTGAGGCCTGTGTTACCAATTTCAAATTTGTTTTTGGTATTTGAAAGATTATTTTGACGCCTGCTTGTCCCGTGGGTTTAGTAAAGACTGTTCGTCAAGAAAATCACATACTTTTCCATCACAGCCATTCTGACGCAGCAGCACACTTATGACGCGCTGGACCCTGTTGAGCTCCTTGACACGACCCTGGACCAGGATGGCAAACACCATCCCAATCCTAGGCACTGTCTCTAGGACTGCCCTTCTCATGTGCTTCTCCAGGTAGGATGACCTATTCAACGCGGCCAAGCACAGCTGAAGCAGCTCTGGCACCACCGTGTCCATTTCTATGATCACGCTGTCCCAGTCGAAGCTGGTCTGCTCACTGTAGCCCACCGGCTTCAGGCAGCTGAGGGTGCCAAGCTTACGGTTGGATATCTTGCACAGGGCACTGTCGAAGTCTGACATCAGTTGGGCGACCATCATCCTGCGCAGGCCGGGGATGGCCAGGGCCGCTTTGGCCAGTTTCTTGGCCGAACCTTCAACCGATTTCGACACCATGGTCTTGATGTCGTCAACACTCAGGCATTCCGGATCGGAGTAATTCCTGAACCTAAGCCATGTGTCAGCATGCCGGCTGAGGATTTCTGAGGCCGATTTCTCAGGCAGGTGGTAGGAATGGTCACCGAAGCGCGAGCGCAAGGTTGGCTGCTGTTCCTCAGCTTCCAGTTCCAAATCCTTAGATAGTTTTGAAGTTTTGGGCGTAGGTGCTGCTGTCAATTCTTCGGGAGTGGCTTGCTTTACAGCATCCTGAGGGCTGATCACGATGTTCTGCACTGGTACCTGTTTGGGAGCTATATGCACAAGTTTTGAGGAACCAGCCACTGGTGCCATTGGCGCTTGTCCAACTGAGGCAGGATTTGGAAAGACAAGTGGCGATTGTGAGGGGAAATTTACTGGCACCATTGGCAGTGCTCCTGGTGGAGTCTGATTCGGAATTATCAGCAGGGTTTTTAGGGAACCGTCCACAGCAACACTGGACACACTGGGCGAGACATTTTGCAGACCAGCTTCCAGTTGGTAAGTCTGCGGCTGTACTGGTACAGGAACGGTTGCTGGTCCTACCGACACCGGCGGAGCGACTGCAAAAGAGGGTCTGGGAGATCCCGGAAACATCATCAGAGGTTTGGGAGCCACGGGCATGACATTCCCTGCCGATCGATCAGTATGGCGTCTGTTAGAGTTTGTGTCCAAGTCAGTGTGACTTATGGGCACAAGCTTCATAGGGATGATGTCCGGTTTCACCTCCTTCCCCTTAAGGGGTGGGACTCGAACAAGCTTGTGGGTGATGACGTTGTATGGGCTCTTCTGACAGAGTGCTCGGAACTGCTGTACACGCTTGTGTATGGACTGAAGCCGCCTCAGGCACTTCAAGCACATCAGACCTTTGGTGACTTTGATGCTGCCATATTTTTCAATGAGTAGGGATAAATCCTTTCGGATGCCCATTCGGCCGTGAACCAACATCCCATGTCTTGACTTAGTCTGGCAAATGACACATTCTCGGCTCTTGGCCGCTTTCTTTGGCTGTATGTTCTGTTCCATGGTCAGGACCTTGACTGAAATTCTGTGAGGCACATCTGCAAGGGGAAAATGCGAGAAAGACACTGATTATCTGGAGGTTGGGTACAGTGAAGGCAAATGTTCTGGTTTACTTTTCAGGCAGACGGCCCCACTACGCATATGCCTGTATTTTAAATTTCTGTGTCTGAGTGCCATTATTTCAAACAAAAATTTGTCCATTTTAGCTGAAAACCAAATATGTTCACACGAATTTACACAAAGCTCCAGTAACTCAAGATCAAATGCTCATGACATCTGGAATTTTCGTGATTAGGGCTCTATACCTCATTTTGGGGTCTCAACTTTGTCTCTCAAGATATAATATCCAACCCAACAAAACTCATTCAATCGTGCCAGATGAAATCCAGGAAGACAAAAATATCACCAACTTGTGATGTAAATGTGTAAATGACATCACTTAAACATGGAAAAAAACATTATTTGGGGCAATTAACTAACCATGACAGTACAGCATGACAGCAGGGCCTAACTCTGGTTTACATGCTTCATGTAACTTTGGTACATGCTCAGCACATCTGTGCCATGTTTTTACATGACATTCTACATGGAGGTATCTGCCCCGAGCTGAAGTGCACCCCCAATCGGAGAAAGAGAGACAGATGCTTCCAACGGGTTCTTGCACGCGGTCTCGAAAGACCATACGTTCCAGAATAAATTTGTTAAGCGTACTCAGCGTGCTCCACGTCAAGCATGCGCATATACATGTACTTGCATACCTTATTGGTGAGCTAGTACCAAAGGGATTGTCAATTTCATTTAAAAATACGCTCTCTTTTGTTCAACTCGGAGCGGATTACACCCAAACTGCAGCTGGTCCACTCATGGGGCACAGCCTAATTTTGAGGGGTGCCATGGGGGGTACGGACGGTAGGTACCCATAGTGTCTACACATGATGGAGGAATAAGAGCATAGTCTACACAGTCCCCCACCCTCAGAACGGCGGGGTTTGTCATCCGCCCTGCTGGTCTGCCATGTGTGGTACAATGGCGGACGACAAGCCCCACAGTTGTGGAGGTACACAATCCCGCCAAGTACTACTACTAGCCCAGCCCTAAGGGGCCTAGGTCTACTTACTGTCAAACTGTAAACCAGTTAGCAGCTGGTTAGTAAGCATGGTAAGTGTTATTAAGCTATCGATATGGTTTACCCAAGAAGGGTTCGTCATCCGCTGCGCTTGTGGTCATGATGACGGTGTATTTTCTGAATGAACTAGTGCCTTACTGTCTAGGAAGTAGCCATGGTGGTTGGCAAGATACATGCTGACCGCACCCCTTAGGCCTACATAGACCAATCTCATTTTGCCTTGGCCTTACAACTTGTATGGACGGTCAAACCAAGGTTTGCAGAAATATCACCTTTTCGTCGGTTATTGATTTTCATATTCGTTCAGAATGGACATTGGTTCCTTTAAACTTGGGTTGTATTTTCATTAAGAGTTTTGTAGTTAGGCCTTCATGTGTTATTATCTGGAGTTCTGCAGCTGCATAGGATGAGGCCAAGGACTAGGTTTTCTTTTAACTGCCGGCCAGCTACTTCCAGATGGTAAGGTTTATACAAACCCTGCAGATAGCCCAACTCCCATAAACACATTGGCCATTCTGACTGTGCCAGCTTACTCTTCCATCACAGCTATTTGTGCAACCACATTTCACACCTGCGTTCTTGGTGAAGTTAGATGTCTGCTGGGGAGGTTTATCCTCATTAAAATGGTGAAATTCTTGAGCAATTTGCCCATCCACACTACAGAAAGTCAGCAGCAAGTGCTCTAAATAATTGTCAGCTGAGTGATAGCCTGACCAATCACAGCACAGCTACTGAGTACTGTTCCTTTTCTTTTCCTGTCACCCACACATAAAAGCCACCATTCCAGTGACCAATCATATTATAGCTTAGTTTTCATATGGATGAGGTCCAGAAATCAAAAGGAAAAGATTAGAGCCGTGTTGCGATTGGTCAAGCGGAACAAAAGCCAGCATTTTTTTGGGTACTCACTGCATAGGCACACATTTATGATAGAGACCAATGGCACATTTGACGCGGAGCACGCTAAGTATGTGTAACGAATTTATTCATCTGTCTCAGTGTATGGTCCTTGCTTAGGGTCTATGTACTGCTGATTTGCTGTAGGGCCTAGTGTGGATGGGCAAAATACTCCAGAATTTCACCATTTTAATGAGGATATTATAAGGTGAATCATGGAGCTGTAAAAAAGGTTATAAACCTCCCCATCAGACATCTACCTTCACCAAGAAGGCATGTATGAAATTCGGTTGTACAAACTAGGCCTAGCTCAGTAGCCGTGATGGATGAGTAAGTGGGGACAATCAAAACTGCCAAAAATGTGTTTATGGGAGTTTGTAGACGTACACGGCTGTCTACGACCATGACGACTGTGGAAGAAGGCTAGCCTATTCGAAGTACCGGCCAGCCATAATTTCCATGATTTAAGCAGCCACAGCTTACGTCATAAGATTAGACCCATACATTTACTAGCCCAGTAACCACTCCTTGCTCTATGTAACGTTAGAAACTAATGGACACCCAAAATAATGAAACACAGGCCTGCGCCTACCAACCGAGTTCAACTTTTCATACAGCTTCGCTACATCAAGCGGCATTCATCATGAAGCGCGCCCTCAACGTCTTCACCAAGACTATACCAAGGCCGAGTTCTGGCGGCTTGTTCTCGTTTGTTCACGAACTGCTCGATTTGTTGTTCGTGGGTCGGTCGCTCGAACGCCGGGAATGTACAACCGGTTATTAACGTGGCAAGCAACATGCAACATGGCAGCGTCTTTTGTGCATTCTTCGGGAGTTAATGTTGGATAACTGGGCTAACTTCTTTTCAATTTAAAAAAAGTTCATTTCTGTCAAAACTTTCCATTGTCTTCAGCTTTGTAACGCCATATCTGTTGGGACCTACTTTTTGCGGCTGTTCAAAAATCAAACCTCACTACCTTTTCCGTGTGTTCGTGTGAAATCCTGACGAGAAGGTGGTGTGTGATCCTGTTCCAAGAACAGTGTTCTTCGGTCTCGTTCCCGCCGTTCGAGCGCGAGAAAACACGAAACCCGTGTCAAGAATGGACGCCCGAACTCGACCACATAATACGCGCCCATAGAAAACAGTGCAAAATCTGACCGAAATAGCGCCGCCTGCTGACTCTCGTGAAGAGTTTGGCCTCCGTTTTTTTCACTGGAAATTCAAGATTATGGCCAGAAGATCACTTTTCGTTTCAATTTCATGGGGGTAGCCACGAATTTTTTTTATTCGCCTTTCAAGGAAGATACCCCCAAAATAGCAGTGAAACTAAGCGCTCAATTCTGAATTTAGCTGTCCGCCTCTGTCCAAAAATAGGCCCGCAATTTTGGGCTTTTTGTGAAAGACCCCTCGGTCTCATTTCTTGCTGGATTATAGGCTCACACACGGAGCCACTTAATCAGAGAACTGCGTGGATAACCACGAGCAATGCTTTCAGACAACACAACAACGTCACCAACAATTGCCCGCAAATGATGGCCGGTCAATTGAGTTTTTACACTGAGCCAGGGATCAAGCAATCGCCGTGAACAGCCAACGACAGTTTTTTCATACTCACCGTTTCAGTAACACACCAGAGTTTAGTGACTTCAAAAGTATAAGACGTTTTCAAAACAGAGCGACAATTCAACGGTGCTCCCAATCACTTTCTAACACGACTTTCCAACAGTCCCCTTCCACAGTGAAAAAGCCCCGGAGCCGCATGCAATAAGTGGAACCAACATGGCGTGGAATGAAAACTACCGACCAGGTTGTCTTTGTCAGTAAGGTTTCCCTTTATACCTCAAAGCGCATGGGCCGGATCTACAGCCTCATATAAACACAAAGACCGCCAAATCGCATTCCAAACTACATGAACATGATCTACGCGACGCTCGACTAAGATCAAAATTATGGGCAAATTCACTCCGTGTATAAAGGGAATTTATACACAATTGAAGAATTCCAGCCAGAACGTTTTATGAATTTATATTTCGATGAAAAAAACCTCTACGAACTTTATCCAGCCCATGTAGATTCAACGTGGTTGCAACATCTGAAATGAAGAGTTGGCAGTACCGAAAAGCAAAAAAGCGACTGTGTTACGAGAACCTGAAGCTTAGACAGGCAATGTACCCCGTGAGTGGTTACGAATAATGCGCACTGAATGTATGGGCGAAATGATGATTTGCGCTGCCATCCATCGTTTCGCCTGTAATTCCAATATCATATATCACAGTAGGACTGGCGGATAAAGGGAAATTTCCAATAGGCTTGAAGACTAATCTCCTATTAAGACTGGCAATAAAACCACTTTTCCCATATAGGAAAGTACATGTTGTGTATTAACAAAATATTGCTGACCGCGACCAGGATGTTGTTCAGTGTTTATCGGTATTGCCCGACTACGATCGGTCTGAGTAACTCGTGCCTTGGCGAACACTGCACCTGCGCTTGTAAAGGAAATTTGCATGTATACTACGAGACTTGTAGAAAAACATGCCAAGTCCACTTCCAACTGCAAATAATTGTGGCCAGTTTGATCAAGAATTTTCCTCGATTTGTGATTAATTCCGTAGATTAAATCACCTGCGCGCTCGGTAGGCATATCCTTAATTGTCGAATGTTACCATGGCAAGTAGAAGACAACCCCTCATCTCCCATGCCGCCGGCATGCACAAAGGACGTGCAGGCGACATTGGGCTTGTTGGTAACTTCCCTCGTACACGTGTCATGGCTCGCACCGAACGCATGCGCGCAGTTTGTTGCCATCGCAGTAATGGCGTCTCTAGTTCATTCTCCCCGCGGTCGTACAGCAGGTCCTATCACATCATGCCTACTTATTGCACTGTATAATAGCGGCAAAGAATTGCACGTTCGTGTCTCAGTTAACCTTATTCTGAACATTTGTTTCACTATTTCAAAGGGTATTTTACTCCCTTTTAGGGTTTTTGTGCTGATGAATTTGCATATTCATGCGCAAAGTCATTAGGAAGAAAGCCTCAGTGCTACATTGATTTGTACACACAAAATTCCTTCATATTGCAGATTCTGCCAAACTAATTATTTCTTTTTTTCCTGGTCGATTGTTGTTTATTAGCATACAAATAAGCAAGAATCAATCCCTTGCTCAAAAATGTTTCAGTAAGTATTATTTTGGGTTCACAATTTGAACAGAGAAACTATGCACTGAACTTTGTTTTCCCAGAATGACATTACAGCAACAGCGCCCTCAGTTTAATAATTATTTAACAGAAAATGCTCTTTTCAATGCATTTCACAAAAAAGGAAGGTATATGAATATTCATCCACTAAAGAAAAGTGCAAATTGTGTCCGAGAAATATAATTCGCAGCTACACTTTAGTCAGATGCATTTAGTAGCATATGACTTTGTCACACGCGGACGCGCCACGATTTGCAAGCTCCCATTGGACGATTACTGAAGTTTCGCGTTAACTGCCGGTTCCATGCAAATGGTACCGATGCATGTGCAGTGGGCGTGATTTAAACTGAAGTGACGTCACAAGAACCGGATACGAAAGCACGAACCCGCACGTTTATGCTATTAGCGTTTTCCTAATACATGTGCATGTATTGTACGGGTGCGCCATATAGCCGCGTCATGATACCACGTGACCACGCATATGTTGTCGCACACATACACCGAGCCAACCTCAACAGACCAGCTCAGTTCAGATGGAACACTTTCCCCAAATATTTATATAGAGACAGTACATGTTGCTTCTTAAAAGGCACTGCGAAGACCAGCCAATACTCAAAAGAAATTGCAAGCCCGTGTGCGATGGCATCAAATCGGTCGAGCACCGATTTAGAAAGCGCTATTGGCGTGCTGGGCAGCTCCCCTCTCGACACCGTTAAAACTATCATCTCCTGCCTCGCGACTCTCGGGAACAGCGCGGTCATCGTTGTGATGCTGGTCAGACACAAAGTGTTCAGCTCTTTCACCAACCGCCTCATCCTGCACCAGTCTTTTATCGACGCAGCTGCCGGCGTCGTGTTTTACTGCAGTACTGTCCTCAAGCGCCCCAGCACCGTCGTTGTCTCCCAGGAAGGCAACACCGCCGACAGACTGGTTTGTAGTTTCCTGTTTTCCGATTACTTCCTCTGGTCTTTGAACGTTACATCTACCTACAATCTCGTCATTATCTCACTTGAGCGTTTCATGGGGACTTGCCACCCGCTGAAGCACCGAAAGCACATGAACACTACACTAAAACTGGGCGCGGTAGTGACGTCCTGGGGTGTCGGCTTCGTCTACAGCTTCCACTTAACCCTCTTAGTGGAGCCTATCCGAGGGCGTTGTCAGTTCGTGGCGGTAAGTCACGCCATGAAGATTTGCATTGGTGTGCTTGCGTTCACCGTGGAGTACGTCCTGCCCATTCTGACAATGGTGTATTCCTACGGTAAGATACTCATCGCGCTGACGAAGAATTTGGTCAACCCGGTAACCCCTCGGCAACACTTCGTTCACAGGGCCAAGAAGAACGTCCTGGTGACCCTCCTAATGGTCACCACGGTGTTTGTGATCTGTTGGACGCCGTCAGAGTGTTACTACGTAGGGGTACTTGTGCTCAACCTTCGGGAAAACGAGACCTTGTACATCTCCTTCACCACGCTGCTGGCCTGCAACCTCTTCATCAACCCAGTCATTTACAGCTTCATTTATCATAATTTCCGCTTTCACCTCCGGGACCTGGTGCTTGGACGATTCCACAGAAATCGCGTTGAGAATATCGCAATGAACCGACGTCGCTCGGTGAACATAGGCCTACCATGAGCTTTCAAAGTTTGAACTTTGCTCCGAATGTGTTCAGTGCCCAATGTACCACAAACTACTCATACCACACACACACACACAGTCAAATATGTGTCGGGATTCCGACGGATTTCACTTAACTTGTCTTATTGTATAGAATAAAAATAATGAACATGATCTTGCACTTTCACTTATTAGCTGGTTGAAAGCATTAATGCAGTAAGAGAAATTCATACGCGAAAGATTTAACCACATCTGCGAAACATTTAAGCAACGGCGGCACCAACTATACAAAACAAAAGAGACGACAATAACATTCAAGACGGCAACAATCTTATTGAAAAAGCGGTGAAACTTGAGATATCTTCTTTGCATGTGACGTTGTCATTAAATTTGTGATTTGTGTCAGGTCGCAGAAACGAAATGTTACTTCCAATCACGATCAACAAGGATGACTACCACTGACAGCCGAGTAGGCCCACCAACGACAGGCGTGGGCAATGTTGGGCTATTGCGCCGTTGACAGCATGAATTATGAATTTATAGACAAATGATCAAACTGTGATGTCATGGCGAAACCAGACTGTACCCTGCTGACGCGCCCCATAGACCTTTTTCAGTTTTTTGTTTTTTGGGCATTCAAATCAGTTTTGAGGCAACCAACATTTTATAACAAACGTTGTTTTCATTCTGTGCATTTCATTTCGTTCTGGGTTATTCAGTGTTTTTTTGTGTCATTCTAAGATAACCTTTTTGGCATCTTTTGACGCATGATTGTCTGTTGTAAATTAATGATACATTTTAAACCAACGAATTTCCTTATTTTCTTTAGGGATTCATTTGAGACATTTTTGGACCTTTGAAAATATAAAACTCCTACAAATATTACCGAAATAATGACAGGAAAAGGGCTGTGGGATTTTCTTTTCCGCCATTTTTCTAGGGGAGGGTTATAAATTTTCTTTGTCACTTCTGATCTTTGGGGATGTTTGATTGACCTTTGAAATATAGCTTCAAACCAAACAAATCTTCAGAAAAATCTGGATATTTGCAGGGTTTGTTTATCGTTCACATTCTTTGTAATATGTCTACTGCGTTTTATTCTGCTTTTGTTAGTCACTTCCTTTATAGGCCTTAAACTTGTCGCTGCTTCATCCAATAACACTGATCTCTTGACGTGTAACGGTGCCTTTCCATACGTACGTTTTTTGGGTGCATTGCGAACACCATGCTTTCATGCGTTTCACTTTCATGGGCACAAAATCGGCTCCGTTAAGAAAACGCACGTGTGCGTTCCGTTCGACCGTCAAAATCGCCCAACAAGCAATTTTGACGGACACGCATCGCTTAGCCCAAGTAGTGGTGACGCGCATAAATTATGGACAGGTGTTTAAGACACCAGAGTATGTATATTCGGCAATGGTTTCACCATCGGGAACACTTCTCTTGGGAAGTTTCTCCAATTTTTTTTTTTAATTGGTCAGACTTTTGTAGAATTAGTGACACGCCAGAATGCTTCAAAAGATGCCTGATTTTTTTTTCTGCCAATCAATGAAAAATAAAGCCCAGCAACCGCTCTGAGCCAGTCGCTAGCCCTGCAAAATGTAATGACTGACGTCATAGTTTCTATTTGTAAGCACCTTTTACAAAGCCGATGGAATGCGTATAAAGTGACACTGAATGTTTCTTTTTGTTGTTGTTGAGTGACAATCAGTATTGTTATTCAATTTTAATTATTAATTTATTGAGAAGTTGGTAAAATTGGTTGGTAAAATTGGTCGGGAAAACCTAGCCAGTCCACTCCGAGCGGGAACAAAAAAGGGCTTGTTTTAAAATGAAATTGACAGTCCTTTGGTACGGACTCATCGCATTGGCGCGCGAGTTTCTGCACGTTTGGGGCGGGGCACGCTAAGTACATGCTACAGATTTATGGTGGAAAGTATGGTCTTCGCGTGCACGTCAAACGCGTACAATAATGGTTGGAAAACTTCTTACCAGCCTTTCTTTCGCCAGTGAGGGTTCACTTCAACTCAGGACGGAATGACTTTTCCATTCACGAGGCGAAGCTTGGGAAATCCGACTTGAATAAAGGCTGTAACAGTGGCTGTGGAGGATTTTGTTTCAAAAAGAAAGTATTATGGTGTATCTCTAGACAGTAATAAGGAAAAAACGCGCAAATCGGACAGCTATCAGATTAAAAATACAAATAAACAAAAATTAAAAGGTAATGTTTGCTCTCTTTTAGCTCTTTGCTGGTTGTCTTTCCAAACTCGTACTGTCTAATTCCCATTTCTAGACGGGCTACTTACCGCACCAGAACAATGCCATAGCCGGCCTCACGCGAAGGAGCATAAAAGGCGTGTACCGTCGAAAGAAACACGTGCACCAAACCATCTGTACGGTGTGGCATTCCATAGTTAACGGCAGGTGGCAGATTCAAGATGGTTTGCTGTTAATCATTTTAGGGAGATCCTCTCAGCAGCTCTGCAAACAGCAAAAACGTCTTTAGGAGACGTCCAATATCTCTGAGATGAATTAGACGGAGATAGGGGCGGAAGATATGGTGTTTTATTAAGGCCACATTACACTGCGCGGTAATATAGAGTAGTCTCATTGGGCGAAGAGAGTTGTCGCACTGCGCAATGATAGTTGTTTCACTGCATTGTTAAGGCTAAGGCTAATAGTTAGCGCAAAATCCAAGAGAAATTGCGCCGCCGTCGTTTAAACGACATAGTTATCTCGTTTAAACGACGTAGTTATCTCGTTTAATTAAACGAGATTACTATGTCGTTTAAACGAGATAGGCTTAAGTATTTTTTCGCGTTGGCAGCAATACGCTTCCGCAGGCAGGCGGTGAAACGAACCTAAAAATTAACTTTATACGATCTTAAATGCACTTAAATCTAAAAGATTTCCTTTCGTTCCTTTTTTAAATTTCGGTTTCTACTTAAAGACTACCATAAAAAAATGTTTTGTTACATTTGAGATTGAGATGAGATTTACGGAAATGAGAGGGCAGTTTCTGACAAGATATTTCTCTTCAGGTCAGGCGATTTTTCAATATCTTTACATTTATGCTGGTAAAATATTGTACAAAGGTATTTTCCGAGGGATTTTTAAGAGGTAACGAAAGAGAAGTAATTACAAGGTCTAAAATTTTAAGGACAATTATTTTTTAATAGAATTTTTGCGTCAATTCAAGCATTTTTCTTTGGTCATCTTTACATAAATTATCACACATTATGTTCCCGACCCAAGGATTTCTGAAGCGGTTAGTTTCAGAGGTCAACTATCAGGGTATATTAAAATGTACGTGGTGACCTCTTGTGATCGTTCCCTGAAAAGCACGAAAATTGAAGCCTTACCATCAGATCAGCCAAACAATTATCGCACAGTGAAACAGCTCTCATTGCGCAGTGTAACGTGGCCTAGATAGAACACCACAGGAAGAGGTGTGGCAGGGTGTTGAACAGGTGCCTCCATGCACTTGACACATTCGATTCTCATGTGCAGCTTTCTGTATCGGACGATGAGCTGATGTGCACTTCAGTTGTCGGTACGCTCATCTGATACATGAAAGTAATTGTAAGTGAAAGTTATGACAGTTATCCAGTCATACAATTTGTAAATGTTACATGAAATAGATAAAATGCCTTATCTTCGTGATAAGTTTAAATCTCTTGTCCTTTAAAATGCACATATTGGTGGCTAAGCTTTTCATGCTGCGTGCGTTTATTGTGCCCTGTGGGGTACCGCAATGGGGAAGTACGGTATCCCACAAGGAACATTCGTTGTACTTACGGGGTACTGAAACGGTGTTTACAAGAATTGAGAAATACTCAAAAATTACAAAAAATCAAAGTATACTCATTTGTTGCCAATTGAATTTTTTTATACTAAGGGACGCTCGGTCGAAATTTCAATCAAGGAAAAAGATTCAGGACCAAATGGTTTCCGTGGGTGCAAAAGCAGCTCAAAACTGTCGCGCAGACGTCTCAAGAGGGTTGGACGAATGTCTTGCGACTTTCGCCGAATTCGCAACACAAAGTTGACCATAAGTTGACCAAGGTCGCCGCTAAGTTTGGGCAACTGTCACAAGACATTCGCACGAACGTCGCAAAACAGTCGCAGAAAATTTCAAAGATGCACAAAGTTTTTTTTCTCGGGCGAAAATGCCGCTAAACCAGTTCGCCAAGCCTAGAAAAGTCGCCAAGCTATACTTGTAAGGTTTTGGTCTCAATGAAGAAATCTGGAATGGAAGTATAAAACGTGCATTACACTTGAATAAGCGCTACTCTCACACCGTAGGTTACTGATCGCTTCCCCTCCAAGTTCACTGAACTGCCAATTGGTTGACTACACGTATTAAAAATAGAACAGATTAAAAAGCAAATGAGATTTGTTAGAGGGCGAATCAGAGTAAATTAAATGAAACGGAGAGCTAGTCTCAGGCATTTGATTGAAAAAAGTCATTGAGAAAATTACTTTCAACTTTTTTGTTCTACCTCTGACTATTCCCAGGCAGGTTATATGGGGAAATGCAGAGTGCAAAGCAAAAACAGATTTTGGGGGCCTTCCATTCCCTTGCTGTGGCTGCAGAGGAAATTGATGAAAAGTAAGATGAGAAAGGAAACGCCAGAGCGCCACACCGAATTTGTTGGCAGGTTCGCCCAAAAAGAGCAGGGGAAACTTAGGAAGCAGTGCTGTTTTTCACAAGCTGAGCTTTTAGGAGTTTTCAGTAACGTCTTGCGGTCTATGCGAAACCACTTTTTCTTTAAAATCGAACCCACCACTCTCGTGCAGCGCTCATGCGTTTTTCCCCCACATGCCCAGCAAAAAATACCCCCTACATGTTCAATCCCTATATAGGCAATTCACATGACGTCATACAGCCCGTGCTTTCGCTTATATTGGCCGTCAAGTGCATGCATGGTATATGTAACGCATGCAAATACACGTACAAGCACAGTTTGTTCGCTGTCCGTGAAAAATGGTGAAGGTTTGCTGTGCCTTAGGGTGCCATAATCGTCAAGCTACTTGAGATTTGCATTTTTATCGGATTCCTGCCTTTCCGCAACGGATAGCAAATGGACGCGAAAACTGGATTCCAAACTCGCACGCGCGACTCTGCAGTGTTCACTTACAATTAATTGCGGGTAGGCCATCCTACTAACGTTAGTCCAGTCATGGAGAAAGGAGGGAAATAGTTCCCTCACGTGGCGCACTTCAGACTTTCCATTTGCCTTTCGTGCCAAACCACCACGAGTTCCTTCACAAATCTGGCCACAATTGAAGTATTTTTAGGCTTCCAAACTCTTCAGCGATTGATGTGTGTACACCGATGTCGAATTGATGAGGTAGTTGGAGATATCTGGATACCGTGGCCGTAAATCCTGAATGTGACTTGCACGTATGACCTTGCATTGATTTCGGTAACAATATGGACCAATGGAGCCCAGTATATCTCTAGCTTCTGAATATATTATCGTGTCCTGTGAACCCCATCTAGTGTCGTGAAAATACGGTTTCTTTCATGGGATTTGTCATTTTCTTCTCGAACATCGATCCAAATTGCGTGTTACTATGCATGCACTTCTCACGAGTTGGTTTGACAGCCAATTATTACAACTTGATACCAGTGAAGAACCCTCTCTACACACTCTAGGCTATTGTCACTTAATACATGCCCCCTAGATGTCTGAAAATAATTCCTGGGATCACATTGAAACAATGACCAACATAAAGCAGGGAGGTGGGTGGGTGGGTGGGTGGGTGGGTGGGGGTTAATCTTCGTCTCATATCTTGCTTAAATGTTTTCAAGTTTCAGATAAGCCAAAAAGTAAACTTAGCCGCTGCTATTGCTCAATACAAGCGGGCGCGCGGGTTTATTGCCACGTGTGTGGCCGTTAACTTCAAACGGCCGTAACAAAACTACTGTCAGATTGAGTTGAAATTTCACATCTGTACTTACACGTATAAGGAGTTATACATGCCATGTTGTATTAATTTTTAAATAAAGCATGGGACCGCAAAGTTCTTAGGTAGGGGCAGAAGGGGGAGGGGGCAAAAATAACCCAGTTCATCGAGGGTTGATATAACTGGATTTGGAATCCCAGCTTATCGTGGTTGGTTACGTTTACTATTCGTTTACGTGACGCAACGTTACGTTACGGTAAGACTGTTTTCAATTAGGTTCCTGTCTTCGCTTGGAGCTTCAGTGAATTGGTGCAGAGCAGTTGGTCCCATACTGATTACTAGTTGAACCACCGAGACAACTGTTGGACTTCGGTCAACCGATTGTTGAAATTGAAAATCATATTATATTCCAACAAAAATTACAAACTGACTCATTAACATTTGAAATTGAAGGCATTTTTTGCAGGCTAAAATACGAACATCCCCGCAAGCGGACGCAGTAAAGTGATCGTCAAGCCGATTGTTGGCGTGTACAAAATGTTTATTCCCAACCATGTGACGAATGGCAGCGCCCGAGTTTATTTGAAGAAACACAAATCAGAGTGACGGTGCCTTTTTCACATAAAAAAATGATGCCAAACCGAGGAGCTGGGGTGTATCATAGCAGTTTATGTTACCGGCTTTCCACGAAACTCTCATAATCGGGTAAGCGCCAACGTCATAGTTTAGTCTGTGTACTGGATTCACTTAAATTGATTACATTTACTTCAAAATACTTCAGTATAAATCCAACAACTTCAACGTTACATCTCATTATTATCATCACTGTATTATTATGGTATAGGCCCAGGTTGTGTCTACGAACCTGCTTAACGGTACTTTCTGTTCTTATACTTATATTGCTTGGCTTCCAGGAAATGTGGGTATAGGCCTATCTCTTCAACAGGTACTCGAAAGGAAAATAAAATTCCAGGTGAATTCGACCGTGTAGGTGAATCTACCTGTGCGGAACACTTCAATTGACAGAACCTGCTGGTTCATACACGTAGCGTTAGTTATTGCCTACTTGAGAAGAATAATTTTTCACTGAATGCTCTTATGACAATGCACCTAAAGAAATTCTGTCATAAATTTTAACCAATTCGAAGAGCCATCGCTTGTCAAGACTGCATTCCATTCTAAAAAGTTCAAAAGTGTGACGTCACTTTGGTTTCAACCATGCCTACTCCAAATACAGCTACATGGAACTGGTGCTGTAGTATACAATAGGTCTATGATATCAACAGATACTCAATGATGTATACATGGATAAAATACAGAGACAAAAAAAGAAAAAGATTACTTCAACACATCTGAAAATTCAGAAATAACTACAATGGATATGAATCATAAAATACTTCTCCCATTAAAGCTGCTGTTGGATTCTGTGAGCTGAACGCTATACACCGCCATAGGTTGCATTTAGATGTAAACCGCGAGTGGAATAGGTAGACTCTAGTCTTTGAGTACAGCCATTGCTACGACTAACCAGTGGAAACAAATTCCCCAAAACAATCGAACCTGATACCACAAATTAATGATACTTAAGTCAACAAACTTATGCTACTCACGATCATCCTTCTTTAAAATGCCTTGGCAGAAATTCATGTGCATGGCAGTTGGTAATAAATCAAATTAATTTTGAGTCACATCTTCTGAGAATTTTCTCACTTTCTTTTTTGAAATAAAAGGGATAGAAAACGTTTAGGCTGAATGAGGACTAGAAATAATGGTTTAGTAACACTGGTCTTCCTTTAAAAACTCAAGCGTTATCGTGGGTACGACACTTCTATTATTGAGCTGGAATGACACACGAAAAATATTTCAGAAATTTCTTTTTAAAAACGTGTTATCACTACGTGGAGAAAAATTGATTCACAATCTCAGTTAAAGAAAGACATATTGATCAGCATAGGAACAGTTTGGCTGACTCCATCTTTAGAGATCTATTTTACTTTCTACATCAAAAATCCCTGTGATAATAATCTATGCTCCTCCCACCATGAAGGAATCACACAATGGCAGTCTAAAACAAAAGCAACACCATTTAGAATCTGCCAACTTTAGAAGTACTAAGGAGAAAAACAAACAAAGCAAAACCAAAACTTCTGCAAAATCTTGCTTGATAATTTAGCGCACTACATAAAAATGTTTTATTCTTAATACTAAAGTAGCTGTCCTAAATGCAAATGTGGCTTGCAAAAATGTCAGGAAGATTGGATTTAACAACTGTAATGTATTCACTGCTGAAACTATGTTTAGCCATGAAACACTTTTTAAAATACTTTCTTGCTATTAGTTTGAAAATGTGTTTAAATGCTAAGCATGTTTATTTGATGGATTCTATTCAGCCACTGGTCATTGATGTTTAGGAACTGGACACGAAATATTTAGCATCTAAACATCCTTACAAAAGATAGCAAATTAAGGTTAGGTTTAATTGCTAAATACAATATTTAAAGTATTCAGCAGCTGCACCAAGCATTTTGTTTGGCTGCAGCAATAATTCCACCAAAAAGAGTATCCTTCTGTATACTAGGCAATTTATGTACAAAGCAAAATTACATTTCAACAAGAAACTGTATCAAATTGTAAAGTTCTGCAGTAGCGGGGGGAGGGCAAGCAATGAATAAACAGGGAATGCCATTCCCTTTTAAGGGAGTGTAATTTGTATAAATGTGAGTGTATTTTAAGTGCTATTTCAGTGCAGTGAATTTTTCTCTGCAACCTGGGTATTCAAGGTGTGCATGACGCCTGGGAACAAAGCTGGCCCTGCTTCCTTTTAAATAATGTTGTGCATTATTTCTGATTGAACGTTACAGGCAAAACCGACCCAAATTATCATCGATTTCAACTAAATCTGATCCAGAGCTGATCTGAACTCCCAAAGTCTGACCTGACCCAACAAAAATCATGATAAAACCAACCCAAACGGACCAGAATCTCAACCGACCCCAGAAAAATCCAAATATCTAGCTTGAACCAATTATCCCAGAATTGTCTACTTTCTGTGCCAAAAGTTCTCTCTGATGCATGACTTCTTTTGGACAAATTATTGTAAGGACTTAAAACTGTTGCAATGTATCTCTTAAAGTCCCATTTGGAGTGTAGAAATTTATACCACGGGAGGAAAACTCTTGCATCTTGGTCATACTGGGCACTGTGATTCTGTAGTGATAGTGCACCGCAGGAATGTCTGAAAAGTTTGATTATTCAGTTTATTTTGGCGCATTTCAAGTTTTTACCAAGATATCACAACCAAATTGACCCGTCCTGAAAAACCACCAAAACAAATCAAAACCAACCAGACCCCACTAAAGGAGTGGAAGGACCGACCAGGCCCATGTCAGTTTCAGGTTGAGTGTGCACAACATTACTCTTTTCATCTATCTCTTTCTCCCCCTGCCTTTGCCATGCTTTCTCTTTTTTCTGGAGCCAGTGAACTTGCTCTGTCCCCCTTTTTGCCTGTTAGGGACTGGCAGGACTTTCTCATCTGCCTCTTCTTCAAAAGTCATGGTGTCTGCCAGCTCGACGTCTGAAAAACAAAAGAGTCATGATACAAGAAAATTGGGGGGGAGGTGCCAGTTGTGACTCCAAAAAGTGGGTTAAAAATAACCAAAAAGACTTATGACTTGTGCTGGCCAACTGAAAAGAAACTGTGACAGCCTGGAAAAAATCTGAATCAATAAAGGGTCAGTGCAAGTTCAAGAAAAGGAAATCAATTAGACCTTGAAGTGAGTGGTACTGACATGGGAGTGTGCTGGTATGTACGAATAAGAGATGGCGCATCTGGAGCTTTGAGCCAAGTGGCTCTTCTTTGCCAGTGAGGACGTATTTGTGCAGAGAACAGATACTCGGATGTGAGTTTTCTCATGTGAGAAGTGTAACTGGGGCCTCGGACATTATTGGAATTAAATTTTCAAAGGGCTAATTGCCCTGACTAAAGTTATTTATGCTGTCACCACTGGCCATGCATACTGCTTATAGCTCCATGCCATTAATCATAATGTAATAATTACACGTTATGATTTATGTTTGCCAATACCTGAATCCCAAGAGTCCTGTTGCTTTGCTGCCCTTTGTTCCCACTTTCTTTTACTCGTTTCATACTCCATCTCAAGCTGCTGAACAGCATGTCTGATCTCACTCAACCTCCCAAAGGCACGCTCTCTTTGCATCTCTGCCATCTTGTCAGTAAGTTCCTTTTTGTATGTGGACAGATTCTGTCAACCAAGCGATTTCAACAATCAATCACAATCAACGCAATAGTCTTGGCTGCATTCATACTATAGCAGAATCAGATACCCACAAGTGCCCACAGCGCATGCAGTCACCTAGCAATATATTGGTAATTTCTATTACAAGCACTGTCCTAAATAAGGCTATATAAGCCATACATTTTATGCAATCACTGTCTCTTCTATGCAATCTCTTGGCTGCACTTTCTCATTGCCTTCATGAATAACAGGACAACACAGAAAATAAATTTGCATCAAAGTTTTTCCTGTAGTCTTCTATGGATCCCCCCTCAGCTGCACCTTCTCTTCCATGTAACCCTTCCATTTGAGCCACTAGGCCTACTTTGGTGAATCTGTTTCCAAACAAACTTGACTTTTAAAGACAGAAGTAAAACATGAATGTTTCTCCTTTTCATTCTCCTTTAGCAATTATAGTCACTTGATATAATCGAGAATCACAGTAGCCCTAAAGTTTTGCAGGGGCAGAAAGAAAAGGGGGTTGAAATCAATAACAAACTCAAACCATTATTAAGGGCTGAACCAGAAAAAGACTAATTTGAACATGTCCTTAATATTTGTTGGAAATCATAACACTGGGTCCAAGTTCAGAAGACGGACATTGGAATTGAAAACAAAAAATTCCCTGGTTGGGATAAATCTGAAACAAACCTCTTTAAAATACGTGAAGTTGTTCCAATCTTCAGATTTTTCCCCTGCTTGACAGGGGGAGTGAAGCTCCTGAAGAAACTTGTCCACCTCTGTCAGAAAGAATAATGACACTTGCTCATGACAGTGAAACTTCTATACAGGCTTTTTCCTTAATTTCCTGACTTCCCTCAAATCATGCAAATTCCATAGAGGTCCAACATGTACCAATTAAAAGCATTTATTACAGGCTCCCAGCCAACTGCCTCTATCAGTTTGCGAAGTAGGAGGCTGAGAACTTTTTTACGGGGGACCAGTCTGCAACTGCAAGAAGTTTTGGAATCTTGGCTTTGTCTGTCTTGTGATCACACTTCAGTTTCATGGACACATGAGACCTTTGCAGCTCCATTTTGTAATATAAGGCCCAAGTTTTCAAGTGTAGATCTAGCGGTAAATGCTTGAATCTGATTGCAGAGCTTAAGATTGAGCCACGGACATGAGCCGAGATTTGGGGAAACAATCCCCTGCATGAATCATGCGCCACTGCGAGGCAGAACAGTGCCCTTAACGTGTGCATGGTGCAGAGCTGAGATGCTTGCGTTAACACTCATTCTGAGGGTGTACGCAAAATCAAATTGAAATTGGAGGACTATTAAAGTTAAGGGTGCAAATTCTAAAAAAGCTTTGCTGACTGACAAAGGCAATCACAAACTCTATGCATACCAAAAGTTTTAAAAAGGAAAAAATGTGTTGACGCCTTTTGCCACTTTGTGACATGGAAATTACACCACAATGCTTATCTATGATGAAAACCACTGGCTGATGACATTCAGGCACTGCTGGCAGACGTGCAAGTGGCCCCCGCCACACACACTTTTTCAAATGGGGGCATGCCCCCCCCCCTTCTAGCAGGTCCTATGACAGGGCAGGGCGTAATGGACTGACCTAATGTCTGATGCCTGATGGTCTCAAACCCGGCTTGCCCACTTTGGAAATTGCTGCTATTGCATTCATATGTATAGTTGGTTTAGTGAAGAGTAAATAATGTACTCAGATGCAATACTGGGTCTAATTTGTCAGAACTGCTTAACAGGAAATGTTGCTGAGCAAATTCTTCTAAAGAAAGTGAAAAATATCTGAGAATCAGTCCCAAGAGATAATTCATTGCATTTTATTGTAGTTGATGACAAAGCTGTTATAAGCTAAGTGGCTTTACTGCAGCAAGCCATTTCCTTGCCTGCCACCAGAGTAGCTCTTAATGTTGCGCAAACCTGACCAAAAACCATGTATTGCTTTTACATTTTCAATTTTCAAAAATAAAAACCAAAACACACCAAAAAAAAGAAAAAAAAAGCAACTTTTTTAATTCATGTGCATCTTGCGATGGCTTCTTTGATTACTATAATAAACCCATAGCCTCACCTGTAACCAATGGGTACACCTTATCTCTAAGCAAGCATTTATACTCCAGGAATTCTTGGTGTCTTTGTTTGTGGGACTCTGTTGCCTCATGCTCCTCCTGGGTGAGTAGATCTTTGCTGAGTGCTTCTGGCTGTAACTCATGATCTGTCTCCACAGAGTCACCTTCTCCGGCTGTAGTGAAGGACACATTGGGGACAGATTTTGTTTAAATTTCCAATGTTGCCATTTTAAGGGTGTCATACGGTTTTAGAGCACTTGCATTAGATAAAATTTAAATGTGAATCATGTGCATTGAAGCAACATTTAGAACAAAAATTTTGGCAGTATTAGCAGTGATGTATCCAGTGGAGGCTGAACTTACCCATTCAGGGACACATTACCATTTTAAAAACTGTTTTATTTTCACTTCTCTTATCAGTTTAAAAATAAAAAAAGCTAATGCTTTAGAGACACTGCTCTAGGGATGGGGTGTTCTTTATGCATTAAAAAATGGACAATCCTTTCAGAAACTCCTCCCCCAACCCCTAAACTGGAATACACTACTCACTTACTAGAAGAGAAGTTGCTGTTTTTGTTAAACTTTCAAATGTTCCAGTTGTTTTCTTTGCTTGTTTAGTGGGTGGTAGTGAAAAAAAGTTCAGGCCCACAATTTACATGAAGCATCTGTAAACTACCTGGTCAAGAATTGCCTAGATGGATATCTTAATAACTGAGCCTTAGATTGTTGTGAAATAGCAATGGTGCTGAAAGTAACTTTAACTATTTAATGTTGGTTTTTTCTTTCCCGTAAAAGCTGCTGAGGGCATTTTTTTCTTCGTAAATTCTTCAACCTTGCAATTTCACAGCGCGTTAATACATCAACTGAGGTAATGAATAAAGAATTCCTAAATGAGTGAACATGTCCTTCACGGAACAAATAAGGAAACTGTGTTTGTTTACACGTCACCAGGTGAAAAATAGTTAAGAGATGTTTCACTGAAAGAAGACAAGAAGCATGTTGTAATATTTTCAAGGCATTTAACCCTAACCCCCAGGGTGTGTGTAAAATCAGATTGAAATCGGAGGATTTGGGATTGTTTGGGATAGGCTATAAGCATGGATGCCAATGTACCCCGTTTTTCATTTGATGTTCATTTTTTTAACTGCTGTTGTGGAAAGAGAGGGTATTCAAGTTGAACAGCCACCAGCAAAATAAACAAAGATACTTTTAACTTGACAGTATATTATAGCCTGGACAAAGGCATTGGGGTGTCATTAACTCAATCAGTGCACTGAAAAAATAAGTACTAATTGACATTACCCACCAAGCCCCCTTACCCACTGTCTCCAGTACACATGTAAAAGTACATGTGACCACATACAGTATTATGCAAGCATACATATTTATGAAATGGTGGTTTGTCCCACTGGAACAGACGTGTGCGCACGTATGAACACTGCTTGCACATCCGAATGTGGAATGTACATGCATAGAACAGTTTATCAGTACTGTACGCCCTTTGTATCATTCCCATACATGGCTTTTGTTTTGAATGGCTGAGGTTGACCTTTATTTATGCACACAGGAGACAAGCGAGGCCATCTTTATTTCACACTAATTTTGATCACAATCAGTGATCTGTCGTTGGTTTATGGACGCTAAAACTCACCTCATGGATGGTGCCAACCATTGTGAGGATCACTGATTGTGATCCAGATCCGTGTGAAACATTGCACGAATATCGATTTAATATAAATGATTAAATGCAAAAATGGGCTCATAACATAAAAATGTGGCACAAACCTGCAGCAGTTCTGTCTTGGCCGCCTTCATCTGGGTCGTTCAGTTCAAATCTTGCTTCCTGAACCAGCTGTAGATTCTCACTGCAGATTGTGCACTGGGAGGGAATGGGCTGGAAATCAAACAGCTGGCTGGATACCCAACTATCGGCAGTTGTCTCCAACTGGACCTCCACTTCTGGTTTGACTGAGATAGTGGTATGTCCACGTGACCTCAAAAGGCCAGCCAGACGGAGAAGCCTGCTAGCTTTAAGGACTCTCATGATGACCTTTGCAGCCCCCTCCCTCTGCATAGTCTCCTGTTTCCGCTGGACCTTGGCAGCTTCTTCTTTGGAAACTTCCAGACAAAGCTCACCCTCCTCCTCTGAATCATCACCACAGCCCTCCCCTTCCCTGGCCACACCCTCATCTTTCCTTTTGAAGTCCCTCCCTCTCTGACAAAAGTTGCCCTCAGCCAGCTCAGTTAAGACCGTAGGTGTCATCAAGGCGTCGAGTGGCTCAAACTGCATATTTTTGAACAATTTGATGTTCAGCTTGCGGAATTCCAATCCAGGAGCCCCCAACGGAGGCATGTGTGTGTTCCATGTACATTCTCTTAGATACTCTTTCTCACGAGCGGTCAGGAGCTTCTCCAGGACCTGAAGGGCATCATGACGACTCTGGGCCTTATTGATGTTGCAGAGAGCAGTGTGGACTCTCTTTGGGAGATGCTGTTCAGATGGAGTGATGGACTGCAGTGCTTCACGAATCACTCTGATGATCTTGGCAGGTAGGGCCAGCCCAGCACTGCACAACATCACAAGCACCACGACCAGTGTGCGCTCAGCCTCTCCAGTCTGTATATACTCGACGCTGGAGAAGGCATCGGCCAGGACATTGAAATCTCTGCCTGACCTGGTAGTTCCGCAAATCAGGCTAACTAGACGACATGTCTGGCCAGGGGTGTGCTTATTGACTGCTGAGTTACTCACAGCACTGTACATTGCATGTCCTTGTCCTGGACAGCAAACAGCATCTTGGAACCCAGCCTGTGCAAGGTAACTCGCCGGTATGGCAACAGTGCACTGCTGAATCTTTGCTCCAAGAGCTAACATCATGGTGACTTTAGCTTCTATCATGGCCACTGTGTTACTTATGGATGGCAAAAGAGGAGCCCTTGGCTTGTTGGCTAGGGTACCCATGAAGCGATTGAATGAAGAAAGAGATTCCATAGCATCACGACTTTTGAAAAGACTTTCAAAGGAATTCAAATGGTACCGCTTATAGCTTAAGAACCTTTTCAATGGCTCTTCATTGTTCAACAGGCGCATGCCTAATGGTTGAGACTGGTTCCATCCTTCTCTCTGCTGCCATTTCAAGCAGTAACACTCCTCTTGGGTGACCCAATTCTCAATGACTTCTGTTCCCTCACCGATCAGCAGGTAAATACCATGACACATAAGGTACAGATCAGTGCCTGCCCTCACGCTCTTAGGATCAGCCTTCTTCCGTTTATTCTCAATGAAGGCCTTCAACTGGCTTTTGATCTCAGGGTTTTGTAGTAGTTTCAGAAGCTTCTGTGTTGTTTGAGCAGTGTCACCAATGAGGCGCTGGTGGCAGTGCTTAGGGAAAAAGACTTCATACAAAGCCTTGCAATTCATGGCACTCTCCTCTTGACTGTGTTTAATCTCTTTCATGAGCTCGCATGTAGACTCAAAGCTGGATAACTTGGAGGCCTTCTGAATGATATCGTTGATCTGAATCAGTTGGACAAGACAATGAATCTGACCTTCTAGCTGGTAGAGTTTGTATGGTTCATGGAGTTCCTTGCAGGTACCAGCTGATTTTGAGCATGGCATCCCTATCACATAATCACTGCACTGTGTAAGCTTCTTCACTTGTTCGTGTAAGTGATCACGTGCTCCCTTCACCCATTCCAGAGCTCTTGGAATGAGGCAACACTTCGCGATGGCTTCTCGTGCTTTCCAAGCCTCAACATCATTTGCCTGTGACAGACTCTTGTCCAGTGCAGACAAAACTCTGGCTCCTTCGCATTTTTGAATGTGAAGCTTGCCATCCTCTACTGGAGCCAAGCCAAAGAACTCCTCACAGAGCTGTCTCTGTCGCTTCTCCTCAGGATTTTCACATGCTAACATAGCACATATCAGTTCCAGGAGCTTCTTCAGCGGCGGGACAGGTGCAGCATATTGCCGGGAGATCTTGATCAACTGATAGGTGCATTCTGACTCTGCTGCTGTGTGCGACATTCTGTTGAAGGCATTTTTCGCTTCCCGGATCTTAGTGGTTTCCTTCTTCAGCTGACCCAGCAGGAGCTGTGTCTCAGATTTTCCGAAAGAGTCACTACATCTGGCAAACAGACTCTCAGCCTCTGTGAGAAGGGAGATGGCAGTAGTCTGGCCATCAGTATTGTCTAGCTCAAGAACCAGCTTCCTAGCCTGGCTCAATCGACACTCTGCGACAAACTCTGGATGGTTTGAGGACTCAAGGATGGTGCAGGCTTCCTTCAGCTTGCCCTTTTAGGATATCAGGAAAGTTACAGTATTTCAGTTATTGAGAAATTCCACAGTGAACTAAGGTAAAGCAAATTTCCTTTCTTTTTTTTTTACTTTGTGTTTCCATCTATATACTTCCCGCAGTGACACACAGAAGTCTGATTTCTGAATTTGGTCTTTAAAAAGATCCAATCAATTTATTTTTAATATTTAATGAACTAAAATTCAGCAAACTGCTAAATTACTAACAATGATACCCACAACTGTGTTCATGATAACATTTCTCAAAACTGGTTTACAATCAGTGCAAAAATGAATTGAGTGCTAAAAATTGACTTCACAAAGCATTTGCCATGAATTTTGCCCAGGTTGAAATGTGTTGGAGAAGAATTTGCCATACACATTCACGATCACTTTTACAAAAAATGGGGACATGACTATAGAGTCCATCCTACTTTCTTTAGAGTTAAAGCAAATGATATTTTAGTACTGTTTATATTTTTGAGGCAAATCACTGATCATTCCAGAAGGTGACAAGAATGCACCTTCCAATGCAACTCCAGTCTGTTGGCTGCGTCCATGAACAAGGTACCTGACTTGAACTGCCTTCTCTCAGTTATGCCATATTGCCTCACGCATTTGCAATGTTTTCAGGCAATACATCTGAGCACAATGGTATATTTAGACCTTGACCATATATTTTACACATTTCAATGAGCAGTCTAATAAGCAGATATTGTAACTGTCTCATAACACACAGAAATCAATCCAAACTGAACCAACCAACATAAAAATGCCTGGTCTGATATGTCTCAAATTGTACCTGCTCTCTTCGTATTTTGGCCGCATCCAAAGGACGTCCTGCGTCTTTCAGCATCTTTACAGCTTCTTCAAGCAACCCCCGGTTACGAAGGAAGTCAACCCTAGCTTCAAACTTTTCCAGCTGCTTCAGAGCATCCAACATCTTGTCCAAAGCTTCGTTTCTGCAGTGGTACTCCGCCGACTTGAACATCAACTCGCTCAAAGTATGGATGGACCTGTAAATATGCAGTGCCAATTAAATCTTTACCTCATTTGGGCAGAGTTATTGAAAAGCCCATTGAAACCATGTTAGACACAGTTCAGTAGAATCTCATTAGAAACCAAACAGTACAGTCTAAGTGTGTGTGTGCTATGCACTGGGGCACTTGGTCACAACAGGTTTGCAAAAAATGTTCAAACAGTTTGTAAAAGACCCGAAGACTCCAAGTGAAGTTTAAGTCTAGGGCCTTTGTTTCACATCTGGAATCGCGATCAGTGATCTGTCGTTGGTTTACAGACAACAAAACTCAACAAATGGATGGTAAACCAGAGTGTGGATCACTGATTGCGATCCAAATCCGTGTGAAACAAACAGACCCAGAGCCACATCAGCTTGGAGTCACAGATAATATACCTAGCAAAAGGTGATTGCTGTAATTGGTAATAAGGTACCTAGTGAATTTTGAACATCAAAGAAAACTGTTCTAGCACAGGATTGTCTGCATTCACGTGGGTTGGTCAAAATGTTTTCAGTCTAAGTGTGATGAATTCCTGCGATGGAAACTTAGCAGGCATTTAATTCAGCTCTCCAGAGTACTTGTTTATCTACATTCAATTTTCTTTGTTGAAGCAGGACTGAAGTTCAGAGGTCTCAACTTTTTGTGAAAACAAACAAAACTGGGTAGTGGGCTGTCGTCAAGTGTCTCAATGGGGAAAGGGTACAACTCTGAGGCAAATTCAAGCTGACATGGTTGGTACATTCAGAGATGGCACTACCTCATTTGCAACTGTGAAAATGTGGGCTGCAGATTTTACGAGAGAATCAACATTGCTGAAGATGGACCACGGTATGGCCGACCTTCAACTGCCTGCACAGAGAAAAATATCAATCAAGTGCACTAGTACTACATGGTGCACAGCCGTTCCACCCACATAGAACGGGCGTAAAATAAGTATCGATACGTGTTTGTTCCTTGTTTACTAACTCCACTCATGCATATGACATCACACAAGATGGCGCTACCCATGCACAGAGAAAGACGTGATTCCGATAAAATAATTCTCAATACTACAGATTAACTCAAAGAATTATATGTCTTAATGTTCCAGGTGACTGTGAAACTAATTTTTCCACTGAGAAATAAACATAAATATATCAGCATTTTACTGCCGGGACAAGAAATACTGATTTTAATAAATTGCAATTGAACCAAACTGTACAATCTGATAGGCCAAAGCATAAAAGACAAAGCGACTGTTTTGTATGTGAGCTGGTAATTAAACAAGGGAAAGGCAGGGGGAGGATCACACAAAAGAAGATCTAGTACGGTACCAGCAGCCTCTATTGCCCAACCTTTACATTGCTCGTTTAATATTACTGATGAGAACATCTTTCAATATTTGGACAAAACCTTGACAACAGTTCCAGTACTTTTAGTTTGGACCTGATTAACGAGAGAGGAGGCACTTTCATATGTCCCATCTGTCAGTGCATATTAAACAGGCCAGCAGTTCAAACCCCTTCAAAGAAACTGCCTGCAGAACAACATACACATGGTAATTGGTCATGAATTGTAACTGTGTATAACTGAGCCCTACACTGCATATATCCCCAGAACTGTGGGGTCTGTCATCCGCCCTGCTCTCCCGTGGGCAAGGTGAGACTGAGAGTGGGGTGGATGATGAACCCCACAGTCCTGGCATGCCTGGGGGTAAGACTTTTCATGCATGATACATGTTAAAAATAAATTTGAACTAAATGTTCAAGAGGCTCACTGACTGTATTTACAAAATACAATCCAGCGCTCATCTTTAAGCGTAAAATAATATATAGGCCTATAGACTTAAACTAAAAAGGAGTCACCAGGATGGGCAAAAATCGTCTGAAAAAAAATCCAGAAAGTTAAAATTCAAATGATTTTTATTTGCTGTTTTTCTTCATACATGAAAGAGCCATCAGACCAAGGACAAATCAGTGCAGAAAGTCAAGGCACAATGGACAATATGTCGGAAATTAATCTCGCACATGTTAAATTGTTAATAGGGTAAAAAACAGGCTCCGATGAAAACTTGAGTCTTACTTACATGTAGTCGTTTCTCGATAGGTGTTTTTAGTCATTGGTGAACATGATAAAATTGAATGCAGCAAACTCTTCCTAATCATTCGATGCAATGGCCTGGCCCTCACGCGCAATGTGCAATGTACAGGTAAACAATGCAGCAGCAGGTGACAGCTTGGTCACACAACTCTGAAATAATTCCTCAATTTTGACACAAAAACGAACTGTCCCAGACACATGGTGCATTTCATTGAAAATACTAATCATTACTCTAGTTCCCAGCTATGAGCTGGACTCCAAAGCACTGAATTTCTATTGTTATTGTACAATTTTCAACTGACAAGATGAAAGCATGATCCCTGTATGCGCGAAATTGACTGGTACCGCATTGTGTGTTTAAATTGTGGAATATACTCGTGCACCTGGGATTTCCACAGTCAGCTGTACACAGATGAATGTTTATACATTTCAGAACCTTTTGGGGTAACTTTTGCATATTCAGTTCATTGTACACAATAGAATTGGGTAATAAACCTGGGGTATTTAAATCACATGTGATTTTTCCCTAACTGCGACCGCCCAATAGAGGGCATACTTTTTTCCTTGACACAATACAGTACCAAAGCAAATATATAATGCGCATAATTATGCGTGTAAAAGGCATCAGTGCTAGAACCAGCATGTGAACCAACACATGATCCTACTCCATTTGCTTGTACTGCACTTTCTGGTTCAAAATGACGTCACACTTTGGTGCGCTAGAGACAATTAACTATTTGCTCCATACATACTCCGCCAGGTAGCAGCCATGAGAGCGCTGAACTTGAAAACATTTCTACTATTAGACTTTGGAATGGCAAAGGTTTTTTGCTCAGTAGATGCCATGCCTTTTTGATGCCAATAAAAAACACACCCAAGTAACCATGTCTGGAGAAAAGACAGTGCTTTTTAATCCAGCAGATCTAGCTGATTTCATTTCAAGTTTTTGACTGAGTATGAGTACTTTGAACGAGAGATCAACAAACAGTCATTTCAGTGGAAACATCAATCCTACCCTCCTCCAAAAAAGGATGAAGTCATCTCATCTGTTGAGTAAATGATGGCCTCAGTTTTTCGGGATGCAAAGGCTGTTGTTTTGGCACAATTTTCCAAAGGGCCAGACCATCAACGGGAAATACTCTTCCAACTTGCTTATGCATCTATCACTGACATACAACCAATGAGGTTAACACTGTCTTGTTCGACCGGCATAAATGCCCATTTTTGCCCATCAGTCATGGCAATGGCTACTCTTCATGACCATGGTTTTGGCCTCATTCTGCATCTGCCATGCTCATCCAATTTGGTACCATAGGGCTTTCATCTCTTCCCAAAAGTAAAAAAAAAGTTGCCAGCAGATATATTCATGCTGATGCCTTTAAGGAGCAAGATGAAACCTTCTACAAAGCAGAGCCCATCCAGGTGCTGATCAAGAACCACTGGCACAAGCGTATGGACACTCAAGGGGACTATGTTGAAAAATGACTATCCACAGAGGCTCATTCCAGAAGGGCATAACAGTTAAGCTCAAACCAATCCTCATACGTATCTCTTGTTCAAGACCTCAAAGACAATAAAAATAATAATAATACTTATTCGGGCAATCCCACATACAACAAGGCAGCCACAAGACATAGCAGGCCACCCAGGAGAACATAAATGTTTAAAAATAAACTGTCGCCAAAAGGCGTAGGTCTCCTATGACCCAAATAGAAAAGTAAGGCAAGAAAGAGCAAATAAATAATAATCACTAAGATAAAAAATGGCATTGAGTTAAAAAAAAAGAAGAACCTAGCCAGCAAGGTGGTCCTTCAGCTCACTCACAATGAAAGTTAAGAACTGGTAGATTTTCAAGAACTGACTTTGACTACTTGAGAACAGCCTGTTGCATGATGTTCAAGAAATATAGACATATTTGTCTGTGCCGTATCTCATCAACGTGATGCTTGGGTGGTAAGTGAATATGCCCCTATCATCATGTGTTTATTAGTACCAGAAGAAACACGACACAATTTGCACAATTACTTGTGCACACTTATAAAACAATTGCATGCAATATGCACGCATTCCAAAGGTTACACAGAGTTCTTCTGCCAACATTAGCATGCCTATCCAAAGGTTTAGTAGCACACTGTCACCTGTGGATCCAGGGAAGGGGGAAACAGGGGCCATGCCCCTCCCAGAACGAAAAAACAAAATGTTGTTAGATGGGGGAAAAACTCCTGTTCCTTCCAAAAGCATATTAAAATCCCAAAAGAGTAGCCTCACCCCTCAGAAAGGCCGTAAAGATCACATAAAAAATTAAAAATATTTAGCCCCAAAAAACAAGTTTGGCCTCCCTGCCACAAAATGCGGTGAGGGATCTGCCTTCACTAAATTCTTCATTCCTTATAGGATGCACGTTTTATTTTGAAAACGATGAAATTGTCCCCCCAAATGGGGAAAAGATCCAAACATGCCAAGATGGGAAAAAGTCCACTTACTCTGGCGGTTTGACATGTCTTGGGAGGGGCTTCCCTTTCTGCTTCAGTTCCTGCTCAAAGCGCTTGAACTGACTGATAACTTTCAAGGCCTTGGTGTGCAAGCCCACGCTGCACAGAAGGTCCAGTGCCTTGGCGTAATCCTTCATCAGCACCAGGCAGCGGCAGGCATCGCTCACGCAGTTCAGCCGCTTCTCATAGATCTTAGCCGCCTTGGAGAACTGCGGGCAAACAAACAAAGAGTCAGTCATTTCCAACTTGATCCTGCTCTGTCAAGATCTACCAACATATTCCTATGGTATTTCTTCATCCAGAGTTAATTATGTTACAGTTTCAAGCAAATACAGCAAGAATGTTGGGCTCCTGTGTCAACACGTGCAGGTATCAGGGGAGTTTTCAAAAGTGCACCGGTAGATTTTCCTGGTAACCGGTGCGCAAAATATATACTGGGTACCATGCAAAACTAACCGGTGGTTGACAAATGGCCCTTTATGCCACTTGCCCCTTCATGGATACCCATCATCAACGATAAAGGAACATGATGCACACGTATACAGAGTATGCCTATAGCAGCACACATTTTGATCTACTGAATACACCTAGTTCTCCATTTTGGTATCATAAATTCCTCTTTTATACCAGGCATTACGACACAGTGCAATACAAATTTCTTAAACCACTTCCTGCCAGGGATTCCAGATCCAGACACGTATGCTTTACATGTATATGCAAGGCCGGGGTCTCTGAACTCGGTCAAAGGGAACAGGATCTTGTAACAAAAGACCGTACTCGGAAAAAACGACGAGGCTGCTGGGCATTACCAACATTTTTTCACTCTCGGCAGTGGAAGATAATCCAGCCTTGTTTTGAAACAGTATACCACGATTTGGGGCATTTAGAGCGAGAGGATTACCACTGGGGATAAAACCACCGCAGCGATATTAAAGCCACATACCACCGCTGCATGCTAATCTGGCCCCTATTGAAAAGAGGTCAGAGGCGCACTGTGCCAGGTTTGTGAACAAAAGAAAATTATGTAACACTACACAATCTCGGTTCTTTTTACAAGGCAGCAGGCCTGGCTGAAATACTTCAGCGTCAATAGATGCTATCTGTCAGATTAAAGTAGAAAAAAGGCAGTCCTTCTTGAGGGTGTAAATGTCCAGTAAATGAAGATGTGAATTTTTAAAGAATTTTGAAAACAGAAAAAAAGAAAATTATCCCATCCCAGCATCATCAACACCCATAAATGCCTCCAGCACGAAGTGGTTAAGAGAGCAATTTCAGCTGTGCACAAACACAACAATGAAAGAGAGCATTCTACCAATGGTTTATTTAAGTAAATAGTCATGGGCAGCTGTGAGAGACTGATGGAGCAAGGGCATGCCTTTGTTGATACTTCCTGAGAACTTCATGACACTTTTGTAGAAGTGATATAAAGTCCAAATGGGTTTCTGATTTGCATTTAAATGTACAGCATTAAGCTGCATGTCAATTTCTAAAACCATATTTCATTGCTGTTTGTCTATGTAAACAGACCCCTTCCAAAGAAAAGGCACTGTACTCATTTCCACATTTAAACGGAAGTTTTCTTCTGATTTTAAAGTACAGAAGGGTTTGCAAATATGAATGGACATTGCCAGAAGTTTCCCAGAGAAGGGAAAATGTAATAGCCAGCATTGAAAAAAAATGAAAAATGATGGGAAGTGTAATGGTGGGAGATAAGCTCACCTTTCCCTGCTTCTCCAAAAGCTGTGCCAGCAATGCAAACTCCCTGGCGTTGTAGAGGCAGTTGACTGCCATGCTGCTGCTGCCGCACTTGAGGAAAAGGCTGGCAGCTAGCAGGAACTTCTCCCGCATGGCATGCCCCTTGTCTCGCATGTGCTCAGCTTCCACAGCCTGGTGATGAGCCCGAGCGAGCAGCTCATTCTTCTCTGTTTTAGGGAGAGGGGAAAGGGGAAATGGAAAATGAGAATCAAAACTGTATCTGGTTCGTTTGCTTTTAACAAGCCAGTGTGTTGTTCCAACTGTGCTGTGGGCACAACAAGATGCAACCAATTTTGGTACATATGCAGTTATGCACACGTCTATGGAGATGTAACCCACTTCTGCAGCTTTCTATTCAGTCAAAAAGGAGATGAATGCTTTCAGTAACAAAAATTCAACTAGGTTGTACAATAAACCTTCAATTGATCATGGTGCTGTGTGCAGTTTGTGAGATTTTGAACCTCTATCTCATTTGCACCTGGACAATTCTGCATGCATGTGGTTTGTAGTATAACATAATATGGCCATTTAACATCGGGGTAACAATATACAATCATTAATTCATTCCACATACTACATATATCATTTGTATTATCAGATCACTTTCAGGTTGTTGTATCTTTGGATCATATGTACAGTTTAATTGGTTACACACTTTCATTGACAAATACTGTTAAATTCGTACTTTACCTTGTTATGTATTATACTTTCCAGCAAGTGAGCTCTCAAGTTATATTCTGTTCTTTGTTGGTTTAGACATGTGCGTTAGACAGTGATGTTCAAGGGCTAGGAAAGGATTCTATGATGGTCAAAGACGTAAGTGGTATGACTATTTTTTAGAATAGTTTGTGAGTTTACCATATCACTTAAATTAGAACTTCGTTAAGATACTTTGCCTTTCCACGGATGAAGTTTATTATCCACGTGAATTTTCTGTCTTTGAAGAGTGCATGTTAATTTATTCCTAATCTCACCTATTTCTGGCTAATCCTGTGGTAATTATCATTCAACGGAAGAGCATAAGTAATTGTAGACTGTCTAAATGAAAGTTTAATTGCTCTTAACTGTTACCAGTTTTCATGGTGATTTGGAGTTGCCACAACAATAAATTACTCCGAACATCAGTTGAGACAAAGTGTCATATTTTAATTGACCAGCCTTTTGCATGCTTCATTAGCAATAGCCTTGGTAAAGGCTTTTGTCCTTAGCCGCACTGCATTGGCTAGCTCATGTATTCCTGTTGTGTACATGTATACATTCACAGTGGAAAATCAAGCTGAACAGTGACCTCATGCTCCCAGCTTGATGAATAAATCAGCTGAGCCACGACGAATGCCTTGGTCCAACCATTTCCAGAAAGGTGTGGGGAGTGCTCATTATGATAATAACCCCAGCTTATGTTCAAAAGACTTTATTTCAATGGTCAACAAGTTAACTGCTGCATGCATTCTGTGTACAACCACATGGCCTTGGTATATGATACCATCGTATTGCTTACCCCATGTGCAGTGTAATGCAGTGTTTCGGACTGTTGATTCAGTAATGACATTTTCTCAGGTATTGAGGTCTGGAACTCAGTTTCGGCCAAGGATATGGTCAAGGATAGGGCCAAAAATTAGCCGTACATATAGACCAACTCAACTTTGTTTTGAAGTGAGTAGTCCTGTGCCTTATAGCATGGGGTTTAATGAATAGATAAACTGTTTTTAAATTTACATCCAACTCACATGAAAGAAGTCAGTAACATGACACATGCGCTTCATGGCTGCCTGCTGTTCTGGACAAAAATCTTCAAGAAACTTATAACTTACCACTTCAGAAATAAAAAGAAAGTTTTGGTACAATGAACAATGTGGTCCAACCATGACTCAGCCAAACTTGGCCAGAATTATGTTTTGATGAGGTAGTTACATATTATGGCAACATTGGAATGAGCTGTGATTGGACAATACACAAACATGCACGCTCATTCATTTTGTAGTTGCACACAAGCTTTGCACAAGAATTCTTGCACATAAGGAAAAACATAAGCCTTTACGGATGGTTGGACCAAGGGTTCATAGAGGTTCAGCTGATTTGCGTACCATGTTGCCTGTGTGAGGTCACTGTTTACCCTGATTTTTTCACTGTAAAACCAAACAAAGATGGAAATAGACAGCTAGCCATTACGATGCGGCTAATGACAAATGCCTTGACCAAGCCTACCGATGCAATGATAAACCACATTAGTATTTTAAAACTGGACAAATTTCAGGAGTGAAACAAGGTTGGAAAGTTTGTACCATAGAGGAAAGACACAGAAGGAGTTTGAACTGCCCGGGCTGTAACATCCAGCCAAACACTGCTTTCTGGCATGCCTGGTATGTCCATAGCGAGAGCGCAACGAACGCTTGCTATGCACCATCTGTTCACAACCACGAAACCCCTTTCTACCCAAAATCTGTATGTGCAGTCATTGCCCTTCATGAACTTTTTCTTCTGGAGTTATTTTGGGAATAAATAGTCCGGTTATTAACAACATTTAGTGTTTTGTTTAAATCATTTTTATTATGGCATTTGTACAAAAGCATATTTTATGAGATTTCATGATCACTCCCTGTGATGAAATAGCACATTTTGTTCATAATGACCAAGCTTTCCAGTAGTTGTGAACATTTTGTTGGCCAGTCTTAGCCAAATTCGTACCAAGTCTTTGAACGCTGATGCATTGGACGGAGGAGAATAAAATTACAAATGTTGCATGGATAATGGAACATCACAGTGAATCATAATTTTGAAAGTTTATTTACGATGGCAAAAGTAGGTCTAATATCAGGAATTTTTCTCTCTCTATTTCCTGGTCACATCAATAATTTGTATTTAATTGCAAGCAAAAAACTGCAAGTATTGCTAGGATATTACTGGCCCCGCTTGTCCGGCTAAGATGCAGGCAGGAATGTTTTCTATTATTCGTCTGACTCGGTGGCGACCATCATTGAACACTTTGAAGTGCCTGAGATGCAACTACTTCTGTGTCCTTCCTCTATGTTTTGACTAAGGGCCGACCCCAAGTCCCACCCAAGATTTTGCTTTGGGTTGCACTCAACCCTACTCCAGACCAAACCTGGCAGGGGTGAGATTTTTAAACCAGGTTGAAAATTTTGCCCTCGGTTGAGAAATATTGCTGATGAAGCATTCTGATCAATTTGCATGACTTTCACAATTGATATTACGCAAAGCCTGCCTACCATCCCCGCCGTGTTGGTAGCACTTGGCAGCCATCTTCCAAAGCTTGTTTTCAAAGAAGTAATGGCCCTGTTGGACCCACTCAACTGTACTGGACTTCTCCGCAAACATGCTGTCCACCTCTGAAGAAAGGAATTCGGTCATAGCTTAGCTTTTGCAGTGCACAGTTATTCTGATGTGTGAAACTGGTCTGGGGGTGTACTTTTTTGGTGATGGGTACCAAGGTGTTTCATATCTACTTGCATTTTTCCATTGCAAATTTCTCCACAAAATTGTGCAGTGCATTGTACGATGTTTTTAATATGGTAAGTCAGAAGCAACTTTAAAGGCATTCCATGGGGAAAAAAAGTTATTTTGATTTAATTTTTATTATTTTTTTTATTTTGTACATGTTTCAGCTGATAAACAAACAAAATCAAATTGGAACGCATCACAGATCCAAATTGGCCAATTTTAAACCTCTGCATTCATCATTCCATATTTTTAGCAGTATTTTCGATAAGATGAAATGAGACTTTAGTGGAATAATTATCACTGAGAGGTCTGTTCTTGTCAAGCTCCCTGAACTCACTAGAATCCTCATCGTCTTGCTTGGTGTCAGGCCCAATGCCTTTGACCAATCTCAGGCACTGAAAAAGCTCAAACATCGGTCCTCGCTTGGTCTCGTCCTCGTCAAAGATCCAGATGTTGACTCTGGCTCTTGTGATGGCCGTGTAGAGACGCTTCAGCTCAGAGTTTAGGACCTGACAATTACGTAAACACAAAACAGACTTGAGGCCTTTCTTTTGTTATTGAGTGTAATTTTGTACAGATTTATACTACCATTTCATAAGTTAATTATATATAACAGGTTTTTGCCCTTACCAAACATATATCAATAAGCACTGTATGCTCAGTGCTGGTCCGAGAGCTTGCGGAAAAAAACCTCATAAGCTTATTCAGGTGGGACTTGAACCCACGACCTCCTGCTTACTTAAGCGAAGATCTGTTCAGCTACACTGGTGTGCAAAGTCCACTCCGTGGGACGTACCTTTCCCTGAGAGAGAGCATCTGCCATGGAGTTGTCGACACCAGGAATGTGAGTCGCCTGGAGGTCGATGCCATAATCCTTGGCCCAAAGGAATATCTGTCTGGTCAGGAGGCATAGGCGGGGAGAATGTGTGCCTCCCTGGCGATTGATGTATGACACCACTGTGGAGTTGTCCGAGCAGATAAGGACTCGTTTGCCTATTATGCTTGGGTGGAAAGCTTTCAGTGCATTGAATACAGCCTGAAGTTCTAGAATACTGATGTGACTCCTATGGAATCCCATGTTCCCGATGCTTGAAGTGGTGGTAGGGAGGCTCTCTCCAGCCCAGATGAGAAGTGTCCAAGGTTATATTTATTTCCGAGTTCACCTTGGGGAAGGGAAATCCGAAGGGAGAAGCACTCCTTCACCAACCACCACTGAAGATGGGGCAGATGAAGTCTGAAATGGGGACCTGGGGATTGATTGAGTCCAATTTTGGCCTGTAGAGTGCTAAGTGGGCACACGTACAGCCTGCAGAGGGGAATGAGATCCACCACGCTGGCCATCAAGCCAAGGAGACGGAAGCAGGCACGGGCCGGAGCAGACTGCTCGGTAGAGAAGACTTTTGTGCAGTCGAGAAAACTGTTGATGCGTTCAGTCGTCTGTGAGATTATGCCTCATTGAAGGTCGATAAATGCCCCTAGATACGTCGGGCATTGCGTTGGGGCGAGATTCGACGTCTCGTGGTTGATGATGAAGCCCAGCCGATTTATGATGTCGCAAGTAAGGCGGGTAGAAACTTCTGCTTCGTTGAACGATCTACTGACGATCAGCCAGTCGTCCAGGTAATGGAAGAACATCACGTTCCGCTTTCAAAGGTGAGCGGCGATGATCTTTGCAACCCTTGAGAACACTCTCGGTGAAGTGGAGAGGCCTAAGGGGAGAGCCGTGCATTTGAAGAGGTTCCCATTGTGTAGGATGCGTAGGTATTCGTAGCTTCAAGGGTGAATCAGAATGTGGAGGTAGGCATCTTTCAAGTCTATGGAAGAGGCCCAGCATGGAACCTGTGGAGATTGGGTGACCGTCCGAAGGGTCTCCATGTGGAATTTCTTCGGGCAGATAAAGTGATTTAGAGGTTTGAGGTTGATAATACGTCACCAATGTTGAGTTCCTTCTTTGGAGTGAGGAAGAACTTGAAATGAAGCCCCTGTTCGCTTGAGATTTGGGAACTGGGTGGATAGCATGTTTCCAAAGAAGAGAGTCTATCTTGGACTCCAGAGCCTATCGTTTGTTTTTGTTGGTAGGAACTGAAGTCGGACAGAGGATGGGTACAGACGGAAGGGAGCTCGTGAATTCGAGGGCGTATCCGTAATGAATGGTTGCGAGCACCCAGCTGTCTGATGTGACTTTCTCCCAAGACCCTGTGAAGAGTTGAAGTTGCCTGCCTACGGGTCTGAGATCGGCAGCTGGAGGCAAACCTGATCAGTCAGCTACGTCTACCCCAGGAAGTCAGGGGTAGCGCGGCTCGGTAGTTCTTCCTATGAAGCTCCTCTGGTATGGCTAGGTAGGCCGAGAGGAGGACGGACGGCCGTGATTCGTTTGGTAATTGGGTTGACGAAAGGAGCAAAAGGAACCATAACTGCCCTGACATGGGGGTCTGAAGGGTCAAGCCCGGTGATCATCGGGACGGGATTGGCGAGATGGAGCCACCGGTGAAGCTAAATTTAGGTGTTGTGTCAATACGTTTAACTTCAGACTCCATCATCTCCATGAACTTCCCCACGAAAAGGTCTTTGCCATAAAGAGGAAGTTTCTGAAGTCTTGACCTGACTCCCTCGTAGGGAATGTTCATGGCATCTAAAGTGTTGGATCTGCGTGCAGAAGTGGCTAGAACAGAGATCTGAACGAACTGCTCGAAGATAGAGTTGAAGTTTTCAAAGAGCGCTCGAAGTGCAACAGCTGCCAGGTTCGGAGCAACTGGTGAATCTTCGTCAGACGCTCGAGCCAAATAGCGTGGAGTGCCGTAAACGTGGTGCAGCGAAGGCCATGTCATGAGGCTTAGTCGCATTTAGCAAGAGTAGACTCGATGACACACTTGTCCCTGTCTTTAAATGGAGACTTTCCTGTAGGCTTATGAGCATCAGAGGACAGTTTATCTTTAACCTCCCTTGGAATCTTAGGGACAGAGAGGAAGTTATCAAAGTCCTCCCTGGCAAACTGAAAATAAGACGAGGCCCTGGGCGGGTATGGACGCCATTGTTTGGCACCAGCGAGAACTTTAAACATCTCAACGCATGGGCGGTCAAGTGGAAGTTCGGGAAAAATTGCCGATGATGCCTCCAATCTAGTGGGGTGGCGCTTGAATGAAGCATGTGAAGAGGCCTCAGCTGTAAATTGCTCAGAAGGCAGGCCTAATATGTGGATCATATCTTTCTGAAGAAGATGGAGCTGTGCCTCAGGAGGGTTAAGGTTGGTTGCAGAGGAGATATCCTCATCTTCAGAGGATGCATCCATCCGAGGAAGGAGGAATGTCATCATGTCTTGTTGGGTGGCCAGGGGCCGGAGCAGGAGGTGAGCTGTAGTCTGTGCCGGAACCTGGATAAGTCGAAGGAGCAAAACCATGACATGAAGATCGGATCGCCGATAAATGCAGGTTTGGATGTGGATCCGGATGTGGATGTAGAGCCTGAAGCGGAAATGGATGCAGATGTGACTGTGGATGTGAATGCGGATGCGGATGTGGATGTGGATCCGGATCACATTGCACCTGCAAATGGTCCAGATCTGGGGCCATCACCGCGGGAGCAGAGTTGGACTCTAGATGGCTGGCTATAGGAGAGAGCTTCTCCGAGAGCATGCAGACAATTGACTTGATGTCGGCCAATGCGTATTCCTTCTGTGAGGAGTGAGACTTCTTACGCTTATTATACCCAGTAGAAGAAGATGAAGAATGTTTGCATTTCTTGTGTACAAGACACCTGGTTGTAGAGCCAGCGGTCGAATTGGGGCATTGAAGGCCTGCCCAGACTGCAGTTAAGATACAGCAGGAGAGGGCTGGTGAACTGCAGAGGTAGAAGCGGTATTCTCAGAAAGGCCCAGAAGGTAGCTAGAAGAGTACGGGGTGACATACGGGGGTTGAAAAACCTGACGGCGCAGGAGGCCGCTGGGCTCTGTTGTCCCGGACGTGGGTGGTGGTGAGCCCGCATGGCCTGGTATTGTCTCTGTAGGTACTGCACCTGGGAGCAGTGTTGTGTTGTCCCGTGGAGCATCAGCATCTTTGTCACGGCCAGGTGCCCCGGTTGAAAGGGTGTCTGAAGACAGTGGCACCAGGGGTGATGCAGCCAGTGTAGCATGGGGCCGCTCCGGCTCGTAGACTTGCGAGCCATGCCAATGTTGGGTGTTGCCCACTGCAGCTTGTTGTCGGCCCGCGTCACCTGTTCGGAATGCTTAGGAACTGGGATGCAGAAGTGTTGCACCCAGACCCAGCAAGCGGGAAAATTTCAACCCCGAGTGCAGCATCACTCTGCACTATCGTTGACTGTGATGCTTTGGTGTTACGTTGGGGAACTGAGCACATGGATATTNAGACCGAGATGACAAACGCCTTTGAGGCTGTGACTCCCAGCCTCCAGGAGAAGCTCGCTAAGCATCGGGTGCACTTCAAGTTTAATCCCCCCATTGCACCTCACTTTGGTGGCACGTGGGAGAGGGAGGTAAGATCTGTTAGGTCGGCACTCTATGCGATCCTTGGCAATCAGACAGTTCCCCTCAGTCTTGTACACCAGCCTCACCGAAGTCGAGGCACTTCTGAACTCGAAGCCGCTAAGCTATATCTCCTCCGATGTGGCAGACCCAGATCCGATAACATCGTTTATGTTGCTTATGGAGCGGCTGGACCATGCACCTCCTCTGTTGGTATATCTGGGTAAGGATGTATTCAGTCGCCGCCGTTGGTGGTAGTGCCAGGCCTTAATGCAGAGGTTCTGGAAAGAATTCATACAGTCCTACTTACCCGCCATGCAGGCGCGACAGAAGTGAACGGATGAGGCAGATAATCTGAAGGCTGGTGATGTTGTCCTCATGTTTGACCCTCAGCAGGTGCGTGCCTCGTGGCCAGTGGCATGGGTCATTGAGGCCCTGCCGGGGAGATGGCCGGGTCCGAAATGTCAATCCGCAGACTGGTGGTCGAGAATACATTCGGCCAGTTGCCTGCCTCATCCTTATGCCGGCAGAACCAGATGCTGACTCCTCAGATGATCCAAACCCCTAACCCAGGAGGGTTCAACTGACTTCACGACCCTCATGCTTTATATTGACCATCGTGTAAAGCTGTTTCTAAACATTGCCCTTTGCAAAAGCTGTGGCACACTTTTTACTTGTTGTTGAACTACTCTTTATAAACAAGGAACTTTTCTGGTGTTTTTGTAAACTACTCCTCGCAGTTAAGGGGCGGCTGTGTTGCGAAAAGTTTAACTAAGATGCGAAGGGCGCCACCGCGCGATGACAACAAAAAGCCTGCAAGCCACTGTCATGCCGCTCACACACGGAGCGTAAATATCCATACCAGATAATGGCCAGATAAAGAACGAATTGGCTTCCCACGCATGAACCTAGATGAAGATTATCTATGCAGAGATAATAAACATAACCATGACCGAGTACCATCCCCAGTGTCTCCACCGGACATCCCTTTGGCAGTCCCACACCGCGTCAATCCACAACACTCACATTATAAAAATAAACAAGATTGTCTGCCAGTCGCCGTGCAGCCTTAAGCCTATTTTGAAGTAGTTTATTAGCAACCAATACATTTTGAAAAAATTAGGGAAGTTAACTTTTCTTTACAAGCATTTAGTAAATGGCAAAATGAGCGGAACGCCGTGTGGTTATTAATATTATATGAAGGTTTTAGTGAATTGGACCGCGCTAATTGTTGCCGCACCGAATAATTTATTCATCAGGACTTTCTACCCGAGGGATATGACTACAAAGTATGTGGCTACGAGGAGACACGGAGCAATCAATTTAAGGCAGTTGTCGGACTACCACTCTCAGGCAGGAGAGATACCAGGGGGTACTAGGAGGACGAATGACCACAGAGTGAGTAGCCTAATAATACTGACCCAATATAATAAAAAAGACAGTGAACATGTTGGGTTAGTTATAAGATAAATCTGATCAGATACCTGTGATCAAAATACCTATGATCACATTTGAAATCTTGCAAGTAAGGATTTTGAGTATGATTTATTGTTTATTGTATTGGTGGAACCCATGGAGAACCTAAATGAGTATAAACAATACGAGTAAAATAGCTCTAATAGGAAAGCAGAGAGACAGCAAGTTAGATACCAGAAGGATTGCTGAAGTGATGAAATGTATAGTAGGGAGGTCAGACCAATAGGGGTTTCAAGTCGTTATAAATCAACTGGTTGTGGTGTGACTCAAGGGCAAGTGATTTGCCTACTAAAACTAAGTACCAGAACCTGAAACCTCTGTACCTGTTAGCAGAAAAAAAAGTAGAAGGACGAAAGCACATTAAAAATCATGGTTTTTGTGAAATTGGAAAAATTGGTACTTAATATTTCAAACATTAATTTAAATAATACAATAAAAGGCTGAATATAAAAATGGAACAGTAATCGATTACTACACTAACAAGCCAGAATTGGTATTGAGTGGTCAAGATTTCAGTTTCAAACAATTTTATCTGATCATTCCAGGTTGACCACAGGTGTCGACAAAACACACGGCCAAGACCAGCAACTGCAGACAAAAGAGCTGGCTCGAAAAATACTTCATGCCCTGGAAGCGTTTCTTTGGTGGCCAAAAGGTGTGGAGATAAAAGGGGAAGAATTAGGTAATAAAAATATTGCGTCTTATTTGATGCTCAGGACCTTGTGCATTTTTTCTTTTATGAACAACTTCCTAGTAATTTGTTGATTTTTTTTTTGCAAACATGCTCCATCTTATCATATCTCATGCATTGGGCTTAAATCCTGGAGGGAGTATTCATGGTGTGTATATATCGCCTTCCACTTTTTACCACAGCCTATTGAATCATATCCTGACATTTTTGTGTTGAAAAAATAATTAGAGTGGATTTGGAGATTTTATTTTGAATTCTCAACAATCAAACTATATTAAAAAGAATTAACAGATGGGATACAAAGTTTACAAGCGTATAAAGATAATGATTCAGTCCCCATCACAATTTTACGCCACTG